TCCGTTGGTACTTCCGGAACAGGGTTCCTGGGTCTATATCTTCGGAATCCAGCCCGCCGAACCGGTGTAGTGTCCATGGGAGTCCTGGATCCCGTTTCAGCAGGTGAATCATCATCCCAATTTTCTTCCGTTGGCAATTCCAGAGCAGGGTTCCTGGGGGGGGGGGGTCCATATCTTCGGAATCCATCCCGCCGTACCGGTGTAGTGTCCAAGGGGGGCTGGATCCCGTCGGCTGGTGAGGTGGTGTGGTATCCATGAGCCATCGATCATCATCCCAATTTTCTTCTTCTTGAGGGGAAGACTTTATCTTAAACGGGCTTACCACCGCCACAGGCTTTCCTTCCCACACCGTAGGCAACTTAAATTTCTGTAGACTCATTTCTTCTTACAAACTGTTTGCTAACAACTGACTTCTCTCCGCGCGTTCTACAATTTAAGCACATATTTCCAAGGTCATCCCTTCTACATCTCAAAGTCGTTTACTCCTACAAGGTCACACCCACTCAAGATCGTGAGCGTTCGAGGTCATATATGTTCAAGGTCACACTTCAAGGTCACTCGGAAACTTAAGGCCACACTTCAAGGTCATTAGAAAACTCAATGTCACACTTCAAGGTCGCTCGGAAACTCAAGGTCACCCTTCAAGGTTAATCGAAAACTCAAGGTCACACTTCAAGGTCACTCGAAAAACTCAAGTTCACACTTCAATGTCACTCAGAAACTCAAGGTGACACTTCAAGGTCACTCGAAAAACTCAAGGTGGCTCGGAAACTCAAGGTCACACTTCAAGGTCACTAGAAAACTCAATGGCACACTTCAAGGTCGCTCGGAAACTCAAGGTCACCCTTCAAGGTTAATCGAAAACTCAAGGTCACACTTCAAGGTCACTCGAAAAACTTAAGGTCACGCTTCAATGTCACTCAGAAACTCAAGGTGACACTTCAAGGTCACTCGAAAAACTCAAGGTCACTCGGAAACTCAAGGTTACGTTTCAAGGTTACGTTTCAAGGTTACATTTCAAGGTTGGCACCGAGGGTCAGCTCTCAAGGTCGTTTGGCACCGAAGGTCGGCGCTCAAGGGCGTACCAGAACATACAAACCCTATCTACTAGTGTCGCCACAAAGGACAGCAGTTCAGATGATGACGATAACGAAACCGTACAGGAGAATTCAGAAAATTCCGAGCTCAGCAGCAATAGCGCTAGTGACACCGAAGAGGTAGAATATATCAGCCCTGAACCCAACTTGGTGATAGCTGGGACATATATATTGGCTAAATTCCTGAATGGAAAAAGAAACGCCACTGAATACAGATATGTATCCAGAACCAGAGAGTGGTTTTCTTCAAACGAGATTACAGTCGTTGTCCTAAAATCATTAGATTCTAGCTATAACAAGTTTCAGTTGGTAGAACGGGATATAAGCACCATACCTATGACCGATGTTATTGCAATACTACCTACCCCAGGTGGAGGTTCGCAGAACAATGAAATTCACTTCCAGAAAAAGGTGGAAGTTAGAGAATTTAGGCAATAAGTTGGAATTGTACTTTGTATTTCCTTTGATATTATGGAACATTCCGTGTTTTAAATCATTTTCTTGTCAGTATGTATATGTTATTGTGGTTACTGGATGTACTAAAGTCAGCCACCATGTCAAAGTCACCCCCAAAAGTTTTCGAGGTATAGCTTGTGATCTACATGGGAAAAAATAAAATGGGGCGAGATTCATGATTTTAGAGATATCTATGTAATTTAGACCTACCTTTGCATGGTTTCTCAAAGTAACCCCACCTCGAGTATAAATTTGATATGCACCTTTTTTTAATTTTTGGTACCTAATTTTCAAATATTTCAAATAATTTCTACATTATCTTTCTCTATGGCTTATACACTATATTTATAAATATCTTTTATGAAGTAAATAGTAATATTTAATTTTTTTATTTAGAAAACAAAACCCAAAATTCACAATCTCGATCCACTTTACGATACTTATAAGTGGAAAACATTCCATATAACAATAAAATCTGCTAAAGTTAAAAGACTCCAACATTCCAATTGGAAAGGAAACAAAGTATTAGCACGTAGAACGGATCCGTGTTGCATCAAAAGTGGCATGGCAAGGAAAACACGGTTTGGTCAAAGATTCCCCCAGGTGGAAGTAAGGTTTTGTAGAGAAATATCTGCGTGACACTCCCTGGTCCAAAAGTCTCGGCGAAAGCAAGTCCACCAGCGTCACCTATAGAAGCTTGGTGACTTATATTCACTGATGATATTTTAGACGATATAGTTCTCCTCACAAATTAAAAAAAATTGAAAAAGTAGCTTCAAAGTATCAGACATTCAAAAAACGGAAAAACAGCTGTGTTTATATTTCTGATTCATTTATAAATAAATGAGACAGGAAGGAAATTGAAGCTTTTCTTGGACTGCTTTACCTGCTATGAATATTCAAATCTGGACATGAAGATTTGATATCTATATGGGCTACTGAAGGAACCGGTAGCGAAATATTCAGGAGTACCATGTCACTAGCAAGGTTCTCATTTTTGATTTGTAGTCTCCGGTATGATGATGAATCTTCGAGAAATGAGAGACGTCAAGAAAATAAGCTTGCTGCAATTTCAGAAATATTTAACACATTCGTAGTAAATTCACAGAACTGCTATAGTCCATTGTTTCTAACTGTACATGAGATGCTTGTTCCTTTTAGGGGCAGATTTGGATTCAGAATTTTTATTCCCAATAAGCCTATCAAGTATGGTCTAAAAGTACAAATTTTGCCAGATGTTAAAACACACTATATGATTAATGCTGAAATGTATGCTGGCAAGCCAATTTGCAGAGACCAAAACAAGTTGTCCAATCCAACAAACGTAGTCATGCGTATGGTGAAACCTATAGCTGGCAGTAACCGAAATGTAACCACCGATAACTGGTACTCATCTTTAGATTTATGTAAAGAATTGGCAAATCAAAGATTAAACTTTGTTGGGACTCTAACGAAAAATAAAAGATTTATACCTCCTGAATTTTCACCGAACAGAAATCGATTTGCGTCCAATTCACGTTTCGGATGTACGTCGAATACAACTATTGTGATATATGTGCCAAAAAAAGAACAAACCCATCATTCTACTATCAAGCATGCACAATAATGACAAAATAGACGAAACATGGGAGGGGTGGTTGCATTAGACAAAAAATGTGCAAATTATTCTACATCGCGCAGAACAAGGAGATGGCCAATGACGATCTTCCACATGATGCTGATGTTTTCTTCAGTTGGTAAGGAAATGAGTAGATTTGCATTTCTGAAAACCCTTGGACTGAGCCTATGTGAAGCTTAAGTGAGAACAAGAATAAGCAATCCAAAAATACCCCGACAATTAAGAATTGCCGCTGCCAATATGTTCAAATTCTGTTTGACCGTCCTTTGGCATTTTTAATCGACTATTTTGGGATGAAAAAGTTGTGCGAAGATGGTTCCAAAGAACCTTTCTGAGGAGCAAAAGCAGCATCGAATGACCGTCGCAGCAGACGGTTTGGAACAGGTGGAAAACAATCCTACGCTGCTTGATCGAGTTATTATGGGCGATGAGAGCTGGTTTTTCCAATACGACCCTAAAATCCAACGCCAAAGCTCACAATGGTTGTCTCCGTACGAAAAAATCTTGCATGAGCAAGAAGAAAGGTGGAAGCGATGATCATTACCTTTTTTGATAGCCGTGGAATCGTCCACTAAGAATTTGATTAATCGGGGCAAACCGTAAATCAAGTATACTATTGCGGAAACGAGTCAACACGGTACGCCTAGACATCGTAAACACCTGGATCCTTCATCACGACAACACGCCGTGGCACACCGCGCTCAGCATATCAAATTCAAATTCTTCATTCATCTCTCAATACATAAAATATGTTTACATACGTCATTAGATGAAATGAGAATTGCATTAGAGTTAAAACGAAGGGTGTGTGCACTCATACAGATAGACCGCTAACATATTACGATTTATAGTTAAGATATATGTCTTAAAAACTCTTCAATCGTGTAAAATGAGTTATTAGTAAGAATTTTCTTGACTTGAATATTCAAATATTTAAACAGAAGCGACCTTAAGCCGTCTGGAAGACCATTAAAAAATTTGACCGCCCAATAACCAGATCCATCTTGACACCTTCTCAGTCGCCAATAAAAAGGAACTAGATAGTTTCTTTTAACAAACAGTAGATTTTCATAAATATATAAACAAGGAACAGTAAGGATTCCCAACTTACAAAGGTATCTCTGCAATCGTCCCTGTAGCCCAAATGGCTCACAACCCTAACTGCCCTTCTTTGCAAGGCGAACAGACTATGGACCCCCAAAGAATGCCCCTAAGCCAGAATGGCGTAGGATATATGTAAATGGAAAATGGCAAAGTAAACCATTCTCAATATGGCTAGAGAAACACAAGAGGACATACTCCGTAACACATATATCCCTTTGGTGGCCTTTCCAGCATCACTGTCAATGTGAATGCCTCATTGCAATCTTGGATCCAAGGCAACCCTCAGAAATTTAGCTTCACCAACCAATTCACTGTCCCCAGGCAGGCTGCGCATGGAGAACACCATTCTCTTTGTCTTATCTTCATTCAGCCATAGCTTATTGGAGCACAACAGCTCAGCCTTATCCTGCGCAGCTACAGACTATGCCATTGAGTCCTCAAAACTGTTAGCGGTGAGAGAGACGGTCTTATCATCCGCGTAGAGAGTAAAGTTTGCGATATTGTTATTGGGAGGTAAATAATTTATGTAAATTAAAAAAAGAATTGGGCTCTGCCGATGTTACTCCATCACATCTCATCACCTGAGTTCTATTATTAACCCTCCATCAGTCTCGGTGTTAGAAAAAATCTAACAAAATATAATTCACTACAGAGTTCTTATTAAAAATTAGTATTATAGCCTTGAGACTCCTGGAATGCCTCATTGGTGTCGCTAGGCAACATCTATGCATAATTCGCGTGCAAATAAAGTAAATAGTCATCTTGAATTTGATAATTTTAGTATATATCTAACGCGCGACCGATCACGTTGTTCAAAAGTGTTAGCAAGAATCTTACGGTGCGACCTATCCCGTATGTGATTTTTTCGATAATCTTGGTAAGTTGAACTGTCGCGTAACTAATACAAAAGGTTAATTTTAAATATTGCTAAGGGCTCAAAGCTCATTTTTTTTGTGGCGTTGCTTTGTCAAACTTTTTGATTTTACTGGTAATAAAGAATGATTATGATTTTGATATGTCTGTCATGTTTTCTCGTTTTCTATGAATTCCTTGACATAATTTTTATCATATTCTTGGTTAGATTTTATTTTGTCTTGTAAATAAATATACGGCAGGTCAAATTTTGTCAATAATTAGACTTATTATTGGTCTTTCCAGATATGATTTCACCAAGAACAGAAGCCAAATGGCAGCAATGGTACGAAGAAGTTGAATCAGATGTAGGGTCTGAGTTATATAAATGACGCTGCCTCTGAACACAGTTTGCATGATACTAATACGGAGCAATCCTCGGACTCTGATGACGAGGATATTTGTTTACCTTTATCTCTATCTGCTTTGAAGAAAATACCGCATTTCACTGGAAAGGATGGCACACCATGGAAAAACTATACCAAGACGCGCATTCATTACATCTTTGGCAAAAGAGCTTATAAGACCACACATGATGAAACGAGCTCCCCTTACAAATATTTCTTTTCCTCTTGGACAAAAAATTCGATCGATTACTGGCATTCAAAAGAAAAATACACCCCCACAGAATCCAGAGCAGAAACCAACGTGCGGATATTGCCAAAAATAGATTTACACAACATAAGTGTGACCGCTGTCAAACACCTATCTGTAAAGAGCATACCTTATCAACTATTTTTATTTGTAAAGAATGTAATGATGTTGGAGAAGAGAATTAGATTCTTATTTCCTCTGTTTATCATAACACATAAAAGTTAATTCTATAGTTAGATTCTCATTTTCTCTGTTTTTAATAAAATATATATATAATACCATTTAAAAAATATTGCTTTTATTCCAAAAATATAGAAAAATAACTTTTTAGAAAAAATCTAATTGCGCGCCTTATGTTAGATAACGTCTATACACGCGACCGATGACGTTGTTTGAGGCCGCGCGACCCCTGGAGGGTTAAAGTAAGACTCGATTAGTACAACGGAATCACAACTAAAGTTGTAAGCATGGAGCTTTTTAAAAGGATGTTCATGGCTTACACAATCAAATGCCTCACTAAAATCGAAGAAAAGAACAGTGTAATACCCTCCTCCATGGAAAGCATCAATTATAGAAGAAATCATGTTAAGTACACCTATAACAGTGCTCTTACCCTAGCTAAAACCAAGCTGATATTGTGAAAACAATTCATTTGCCTCAAAAAAGGTTACTAGTCTTAAAGCCATGCATTTTTCAAAGATTTTAGAGGTAACTGGAAGAAGGTATGTAGGTCTGTAGTTCTCCGGTGAATCAACATTGCCGTTCTTAAAAATATGTGTGACAGTAGGTCTCTTCAGAACTGTTGGAAAAACTTTTTCTCTAAGACATATTAATCAATCGTGTTAGAGGAATCAACATTATGTTCTTTATACATTTTACAATTCTTAAAGTGAAACCAAAAATATCCTTACTGTTTTTATTTTTGAGATTATCTATCACATAGCGGACCTCATTAAATGTGACCTCAGAAAAAGAAAAGAGAGGTGGCGGTACCAGGAAATCGATATCATTTACAGGATCTATATGTACATCAGGGATGTGATTTTCTATATACAGGGTGACTTCGAAGTTGAGTCATTTATTTTAACAGTGAGTAGATCTGTTCAAAAGAAATGTTTTTTCCTGTAAGATTTTTCTGGTAAAATTAAAGTAACAAAGTTATAGCCCTTTAGAAGTTTGAGAACAGCCCTGTATCAATAATAATATTATGTGCTCGTGTTTGGCAACAACGGATAGTCCGCCTTATCGGTTCATCGCATCGGAAACAAAAAAGCGAAAGAATTTGAAACGCTTATCGCGATGTTTTTACTACAATTTTATTCAGTTGTATTCAGTAACGCGTGAGTGAATAGTGGTGTTTGCTGCGTGGCTCAAACGAAATAAAAAATGGCACATGTTTACGAAAATGCTGAACTTGTGGACATGATTCTTATTTACAAAATGCTGCCGCGGCATCACGGATTTAAGCGGATCGGTTTCCCAATCGAGTGCAACCAACTCCTCGTGCCTTTGTTAATGTAGTACAAAGGGCTCGTGAATCAGGTGACTTAAGACCTCACAGGGGAGGGCATGCCGGTGCTCCAGGTCCGCACTGAAATAATTGTTGGGAGGATACTTTATAAAACAAGGTAACATTTTTTTATTTTTTTTTTATTTTTACACACGTATTTTGGTTTATCTTCCTTCTACAATCATTATCTGACAATTAATGACTAAACTTCAAAGTCACCCTGTGTATTACTTGCTATGCTACAAAAAAAATATTGATGTCACCAGGTGGCAGGTCACTGCTCCCAGGGCACCTATTACACTTACCCCTTTTTTATTGATGAAATCCCATACGATTTTAGCAGCATTTCTCGAGCTCTTTACAAGGTTGTCATTAGCATTTATCTGTGCTTTTCTTATTTTATTTCTATATAGATTTTTGTAGTTTTTATAGTACTGGTCACTCACAAAACCATACTGCCCTTTCAGCTTTCTCAAGAACCCCAAATATTCCCTCATTGCCCTTAGCTCGGTATTAAACCATGAAATATTATTGCCCTGGTCGGGTCTTACCACGTAAGTTTTCTTAGGAAAAGAGTATGTATAGGCTTCTTGAAGAATACCCATGAAGTGGCTAAACTTTTGTTCAGCACTGGTACTACCAACAGTAATGAAATCCCAAGATATCTCCGGCAACCTACTGTGAAACGTAAACAAACCTCTTTGCGATACTGCTCTATTAGCCCTTTCACTGCGGCAATCGTCCTGGGCCGCAATAGAACGTGGCAATTGAGGTGCGGGAACCGTTTATAAACGCGAAGGTTTCCGAAAGGGTTAGCTGCGGGGCCCGAACGTTTACGTTTGATAGTAGGTATAGGTATCTGAGTTAATCGATCCCCCGGCCGCTAGATGAGGTAAGATGTCAGGCAGATTTAATATGCGGAAATTTAATCTTAACATATGAGTGAACGTTGTTGATTTATATATCGGAAGGCGAACGTGACAAAAAAAATACATTCGAATTTGTGGTTGGCGAACTAAAATCTACGTAGGTATGTAGAAAGAATATACAAAAAAATCATTCAATTCATAGATAATGACTGAAAGAGGTGGACCTCCCTACTACACTGATGAGGAACTGCTGGAAATATTGATGAATAGTGATGAAGAAACATCAGACATAGATGAAAATGAGGTGCCTACCAGTAATGAGGACGAGGTAGATGAAACGGAGAGTGATTTGGAAGGTAGTAAAATACATTGTTATTTATTAGTGAAAACTCGAGACGAAATTTCAGACGATGGTCCGCCAGAGGAAATAGCGAAACTTGATGGAGCATTTTCCTGCAGCAACCAGCCATTTGAACCCATTATTCATCGCTATAACCCTGCTACATCGGAATTGAAAAACACTTTTGATCCGAATTCTACTCCACTCATGTGTTTCAAGCAATTTTTTTCTGAAGCATTGTTAGAACACATAGTAATTGAAACAAACCGTTATGCTGATGACACGTCTCAAACTGCACCAAGTACTTCTCGTCAAAACAAATGGAAGCCTACTTGTCATGATGAGCTATACGTCTTTCTGGCTGTTACAATATTGATGGTTCATACAAAGAAACGAAAAATAAACGACTATTGGGCCACCGATCCCCTAATTGTTACACCAATATTTATTCAAATTATTTCACGTGATAGATATATACTTCTTCTGCGTAATCTTCATTTTGCTAATAATGAAGAACAGAAGAATACAAACGATCGTCTCTTCAAAATTAGAACAGTTGTTGATCATCTAAAAGCTGCTTTTTCAAAAAGTCTACATCCTTTTCAAAATCTTTGTATAGATGAGAGCTTGATGTTGTTCAAGGGACGAATCGGTTATAAGCAGTATATTCCATCGAAACGTCACCGATTTGGCATAAAGTTTTTCAGTTTCTGTGATTGTAAAGCTGGATGTACACTAGATTCCATTATCTATACAGGATCTAATTCCAATATTCAGGAATTTGAGGGAAATCTTGGTAAAGGAGCGAATATAGTTTTAACTCTCATAGAACCATACATGTACAAGGGGCATAATATATTTCTGGACAATTGGTATTCAAGTCCAACCCTTTTTCGGGTACTTCATCAACATGAAATAAATGCATGTGGGACTGTTAGAGCAAATAGATCTCACATGCCTCCACTAAAAAAAACTAAATAGTGGTGAATTACAACATGCTTCGACGGATACGTTGTTAGCATTGAAATGGAAGGATAAACGGGATGTTATGATGCTGACGACATTTCATACAGCAGATGTTGTTCCTGTTCAAAACAAACGTGGAATTGAAGTCACGAAACCCGTGTGTATTTTAGAATACAATAAAAATATGGGAGCAGTCGATCGATGCGATATGCTTTATAGCTCAACAGAAACAATTCGCAAATCCATAAAATGTTACAAAAAAATATTCTTCCACTTACTGGATATATCAATACTAAATGCGCATGCCTTGTACCAACTAAAGACTGGAAAGAAGTTGCCCCTAATAGATTTTCAATTCCAATTGGTAAAGCAACTATTAGATGAACACAAAAAAGCTCATCCTCGGCTTGTAGCAGGGAGAGCAAATGAAGATTTTTCATTACGTCTAACAGAAAGGCATTTTCCATCACTAACAGGACAGCGCAATGAACTGAATAAACTTGTACCTAGACGTTGTGTGGTGTGTTCTAAGCGACGAAAGCGTAGGGAAACAACTTATAGATGTTTGAAATGTGATGTAGCTCTTTGCGTGGTGCCATGTTTTGAACATTATCATACTTTGAAAAAATTTTAGTGTTGTTATTTTTGTTTTTGCTTTGTGAATATATTTTGTTTTTATGTAACTTCATAAATCAATTAGTTCTAATAAATAATAATAAAGTTGGAAATTTAAATTAATTTGAACGATACCTACGCCACTGTGTAATCGAAACACGCGGGACCTGCTAGCCCAAGCTGCGGGAGGCGTACGGGGCCGATGAGCTTGGCAGCGGCCGCACACGGTAATACATTGCTAAAAACGTACGTCGCAGTGAAAGGGTTAAGTTTTTTATTTTGAGTAAAACCTGTGGTTTCACAACCAAGAAATTCAATCAGCTGACCTTCTGATATTCCAGTACCACATACCTGAGGGCCACACAGCTCCATCCCACTACTAAGTAAAACATTGTCCAGACAGGAGTCCCCACGGGTTGGTTCATAGACTGTTCTTTCTAAGCCAAAGCCGGCGAGAAGGTCTCACAATTTACTCGTATTAAAATTTAATGTGTTGAAACTTACATTAAAATCCCCAAGAAGAATAATTTGCCTGTTCGTACTCAGTTGTGTTAATATTGCCTCCAATGACTCCAAGAAGGTGTCAAAATTCTCTGAAGGAGATCTGTAAATAGTTACAATACATACATTCAAACTCTGACAAGAAACTACATAGTACTCAATACACTTGTCTATATAAAAGGCAGAATTAATACTTATAACACATGATACATTTATTTTTGGTAAAAATTGCAGTTCCTCCGCCTGTGAAGTGCTTCCGTTCGGAAGACCGTCTCATCAAGTATCCCTGCAAATCGACAACTTCTATTTCTTCTTTGGTCAACCAACGTTCTGTCAGACACAGTACATCGATGTCCTCATCAGCAAGAAAGGCTTTCAACTCATCTCTTTTTCTTCTTAGGGATCTTACATTTATTATGCAGAATTTTTACTTCCTGCTGTTTAGGTTTTCCTTTACCATATTTTGGGGCTGCTGGTTCTGAAAATGGTTTATTAGTATGCCCGTTGACAGATCCGGACATAAATATTTATTAATGCCATCATGAGGTACAACAAGTCGAAATGCAGTACTTTTCCTTTTTGGTTTTCATTTTTTCGCAGGTGTATCGATTAAAGTTATTTTCTTTGTGAAAATTTATCACGCTTTCGCTGGTAAGTTCTGGTGCCAGACCAGATAAAAACAAGGGTGACACTCTGGATGCTGGTTTAAGGCTGTATATATTTACATTGCAGCCTCTCAAAGGTTCAGGTCGACTTGATTTATCAACAGATCTATTTCTGACCGAGATTTTATTTTTATTCCAATTTGTACCCTCTATCCATTTGTTTTCATCTTTCTCAGTCCGAGTAGAGATGGGCGCTGCATTGACGATGACAGGAGGCTTATCCGAAGGCAGTGCGCCACTATGATTTTCCGGAATTGCGATTTCTATGTTTGCAACCGCATTTTGGATTTTGCGAGGTTTCTCGTTAGATGTCACTGGGTCTGATGGATGATTGGCATTTTCGAATTGTTGGATCCTTTTATTTAGGAAATCAACTTTATCATCAAGGAAATGTACCTTTTCTCTCTGAAGTTGACTGTTTTCTTCCGCGATTCAATTTTTGCTTTGCAATTCTTTCACTAGCGTTCTTAGAAGATCCAACTCCGTCGAATCTTCATAGAGCAACATGCTTACACTTTCTCTTCTTACCTTGCTTGATTGATGTATACAATCGGCATTTTTCAGCTCGGCTGCCTGGTCAATTTAAAAAACCTCAAGATATTGTCAACGCTTTTCAAGATTTTTTCCAGTCCACATATTCACCTTCCACAAACTTTACACCCACGGACTCACTAGACTGCGCCTCATTACCCTTGAATATACTAATAATTACTGAGAATCAGGTTGTTGCCGCTTTGAAAAAGATTAAACCCAAGGTATCTTCCACTCCAGACCTAATCCCTGCATTTTTACTGAAAGACTATGCTTTTGCTTTAGCTGAGCCTTTAGTTTATCTGTATAACACATCTCTTAATACTACAACTAGCGCAGTTGCTAGCATGCTAACGCTATGCTAAATATTGTGCGTTGATGTATTTATTTAAAACCACCCGTAGCGCAGTTGCTGGTATGGTAATGCAATGGTAGCGATATACTTTAACCCTATCTCTAATCATTTTTTATCCTTTAGCATCTTTGATCTGTTATCTGGTATCTGGTATCTGGTATCTGGTATCTTTTATCTGTTAATCTGTGATCTGTTATTTGTTATATGTTATTCGTTATATGTTATCTGTTAACCACTAACCGTTATCTTTTATCGTCTATAAGAAAAAATAAATTCAATGGTGGAGGACAAAAGACGAAAATCAACATGCTATCCTTTCAGTCATTAACGATATCTGTTATTTCTTTGGAAACTTGTTGTCATCACTAATTCATTAATCAGAAAGAATTAGAATATGTGGACCATAAACATTATTGATTTGTTGTAGATATTTTACTGTTCCCAAAATTTCAAATAACTGTAGGATATATGGATGATTTTGATAATGTCCTGTGTGATTGACCCTGCTGCTCCAAAATATACATAAGTGAACACTTACTTGTCGAGACAGCAGTTGATAGCACGCTAACACTATGCTAAATATTGTACGTTGATGTCTTTATTTAAAAACTCCCGTAGCGCAGTTGCTGGTATGCTAATGCAATGCTAGCGATATACTTTATCCCTATCTTTAATCATTTTCTAACCTTTAGCATCTTTGATCTTTTATCTGTTGTTATCTCTTGTCTGTTGGCGGTTGTCTGTTGTCTGTTGCCTATTGTCTGTTGTCTGTTGTCTGTTACCTGTTACCTGTTACCTGTTACCCGTTACCCGTTACCCGTTACCCGTTATCCGTTATCCGTTATCCGTTATCCGTTATCCGTTATCCGTTATCCGTTATCCGTTCTCCGTTATCCGTTATCGTTATCCGTTATCCGTTATCCGTTATCGTTATCCGTTATCCGTTATCCGTTATCCGTTATCTTTTATCTGTTATCTGTTATCTGTTATCTGTTATCTGTTATCTGTTATCTGTTATCTGTTATCTGTTATCTGTTATCTGTTATCTGTTATCTGTTATCTGTTATCTGTTATCTGTTATCTGTTATCTGCTATCTGTTATCTGTTATCTGCTACCTGTCACCCGTTACCTGTTATCTGTTACCTGTCATCTGTCATTTGCCAACTGTTAGCTGTCATCTGTTAGCTGTCATATGTTATTTGGTATCCGTTATCTGTTACCTGTTATCTGTTATCTGTTATCTGTTATCTGTTATCTGTTGTCTGTTATCTGTTATCTGTTATCTGTTATCTGTTATCTGTTATCTGTTATCTGTTATCTGTTATCTGTTATCTGTTATCTGTTATCTGTTATCTGTTATCTGTTATCTGTTATCTGTTATCTGTTATCTGTTATCAGTTATCTGTTATCTGTTGTCTGTTATCTGTTATCTGTTATCTGTTATCTCTTATCTGTTATCTGTTATCTGTTATCTGTTATCTGTTATCTGTTATCTGTTATCTGTTATCTGTTATCTGTTATCTACTAATAGGAAGATGGCGTCAAGTGAGAAGCAGAGTGTATACAACGAGATTAAAAATTGCAAAAGGTGCAGTTCTATTGCGAAGAGTGGTTTGCAGTGTGTAAATTGTAAAACCCTTATACACGCAGGATGCAAAGTATATAAAAAATATACAAAAACTAGATGACAAAACAGTAATTTGCTGTGATGGTATAAATTTGATCGATGATACAATGAAACCAAAACATCGAGAATTCGATGAAGACGAGGATACCTCCTTCTGCAGTGTGGACGATTTTATTGATGCTGAGGTGAGTGTTAAAGATGTCGTTATCCTGAAGGAACTTATCAAGCACAAAAACTCCATAATTAAATCACAACAGCAAACAATAAACAGTTTGCTCGCTCAAATATCCTCATTGTCTCAGTTACCTTCCACGACATCTATAAATGAAGCTAAAGAGTTGCCCAGTAAGTACCGTAGAGAGCTGGTACCACAATCTTATAGTCAAGCGACACTTCATCAGAAAGGGAAGAAATCTGCGGATAACTACCAAGCAAAGTCTGCACAATCGTCAGGTGGTTCTACTTGCACTACGAGTAGAATAACAAGACACCAGGTGGCCGCTGCCGTAGAACACGCCAAATCTTCTGCGTCAACCTACGGTGCTGGCGCTACTGCTGCAGCGAGTGGTCCTCCCTCAACATCATCACTTATTCCATCTCAAACACGACCAACGGTTCAGACGCAGGAAGGTGACGATGGTGGTAGCTCCAGTTCTTGGAAAGCCGCCAAAGGCAAGCGCAACCGACGTAGGAATACATTGGTTGTCGGAAATGGGCCTGACAACTCAGCTGTAAAAGGAGTTGCTAAGAAAGTTGCACTGCACGTCAGTAGAATTCATCCCAGTACGAAACTCGACGAAATGGAGGATATGATTAAAACTAATTTCCCGGAGGCATTTGTGGAACAGGTTCAATCAAAACATCCTGGAGAATATTCATCTTTTAAAGTTACTATTCTTCAGTCTAATTTCAAGAAAGCTTTAGATGTCAATATGTGGCCCAGAAATACCATTATAAACCGTTTTTTTCTACAAGAAAAAAGATATAACTCTAGTCACATAGAATTTTATCCTACACTTTTATTGTTGAATGTCCAGTGTCTTAATTTAGATAAGTTAAATGAGTTATGTATTTTTTTAAAAGATTTTAATAGTGTATGTTTTGTATGCCTAACGGAAACATGGGCTGTGGATGATTCTATTGAAAAGTTTTTAATTGATAATTTTTATTTGTCCAGTTTTTATTGTCGAACAAGGTACAAGGGCGGGGGAACAGCTATACTTTCTAAATCTGACGTTACTAGTACCATGATTGATGTTTCGGATTTACCTCGACAGAAAAGGACATAGAGCTGTGTGCCACAAAATTCAAGAATGGTAATACCTACATTATCATGATAGTATGTTATCGGTCTCCCTCAGGTAATATAAAAACTTTCTGTGATAAGCTTAATGAAGTCTTAAGTTATGTATACAAACCTAGGCTTAAGTTAATTTTGTGTGCTGACTTCAACGTAGATTTTTATTCACCAAATTCTGAATTAGATAATCTAAAAAACGTACTGAACGAGTTCAACCTGTTTCCGATTATAGGGTGGCCAACGCGCATAGGTGGCACATCAGTCAAAACGATTGACCAAATATATGTAAATTTTTTGGACTTTGGGCAAAACTGTGTAGTCGACAATACCATCTCTGATCATCGAACAGTGCTGTCAGAATTAAGTGTGATCAACCAAACCCATGGGCCACAAGTTTTTGTAAAAAAAAGATCATACAACGATAAAAATATCAACAACTTTATATCCGATATATGTTCTGAAAATTGGACCAGTTTATACAACATGTCTGCCATTGAATTAGCTTTCGATATTTTTTCTCAAATTTTCAACCACCATTTTCAAGTTAATTTTCCGCTGCGTAAACACTTGGTTAAAACGGCCCACAAAGACTGGGTTAATAATGAAGTAAAGGAATCCAGCAACCAACTCAAGGATTCCTATTTATTGTCAAAAATCATCCCAGATACTAAAGAGACATATCTTCATAAGAAAAAGAATCATCGAAATTTAGTAACTTCAGCAAAGCAACAATATTATCATAATAAAATATCCAAGTCTTCGAATCGTAATAGGGCTGTCTGGAAGGTAGTATCCGAGTTAACAGATAATAAAAAGAGTCAAAGGAGTATAATTTTGGAGGATGCTGGTAACACATTAAGTAATACTCAGGATATAGTCAATAAATTCAATAACTATTTTAAAGATACTCCGTTAAACATTGTAAATAATATAAATCGGGCAAATATTGAAACCGTAGATTCGCATCCCACTCATTGTCGGCAAATGCTTCTCTATCCATTTAACGAGTTTTTCGACTTGATCTCTTCGAAATTGAAAAACAAACATTCCTCCGGACCAGATGATATTCCGGGATTTCTTGTAAAAAAAGTACTAAAATATATAGTGAAACCATTTGTATTTCTAGTAAATCTCTCCTTTTGCACGGGAAGGTTTCCCCAATCCTTAAAAACTGGGAAGGTAATCCCAGTTCTTAAAAAAGGAGATCCTTCAAAGATTTCCAATTACAGACCAATAACAGTTCCTTTCTGCTTCTCCAAAATCTTTGAGTACTGCTTTCTAGATAGATTGTTGCGATTCCTAGAATCTGAAAATACTTTGTCAATTAACCAACACGGTTTTCGCAACGGAAAGTCGACACACACGGCCTTGCTGAGTTTCATTCAGAAAATTATAGCATCGATTGAGGCAGGCGCAGTTCCTGTTGGGATATTTTGTGACCTCAGCAGAGCATTTGACTGTGTCAACCATGAGATACTTCTGGGCAGACTGGTTCAAGTCGGCATTGTTGGGACACCCTATAGCTGGATTAACTCCTTTCTATCCGATCGATCACAATATGTTTGTTTACATGAAAACAGCAACAACATTATCTCTGAGGTGAAATCTGATGTAACGTACGTAGACATCGGCGTACCTCAGGGATCGATTTTAGGGCCTGTTCTTTTCATTCTTTACATAAATGAATTTGAGCACTCTTTCTCCCAAGCCAATTTTACGCTTTACGCGGATGATGCGGCAATCATATTGTCCAGCAAATCAAATCAAGTTTTAAAAGAAGACTGTGAACATTTATTAAACAGTGTTCATGATTGGTTTAGCGCACATCATCTTCACCTGAATGTGGAGAAGACGGCAATGATGAGATTTCACAACGTGCACAAACAAATGACTCCGCTTGATCTTCGAGTTAAAGATAATCAACTAAGTGTTCTCAAAGAAACAAAATTCTTGGGCTTGTGGTTGGACGAATGTTTCAATTTCAAGGCCCAGTGTGATCGATTGGTATCCAGGTTGAACTCACAGTCATATGTGTATAAAGTTCTACGAGCCACATTGACTGGAGACCAGTTAGTAACACCCTATTATGCTCAGGTAGAGTCTAGGCTGAAATATGGTTTGTGCTTCTGGGGAGTATCGACCATGTCTTTTTAAGTCAGAAAAGAATTCTAAGACCTATGGCCGGAGTAAGCTCATTATATAGCTGTAGGGAGCTGTTCCAAAAGTACCAAATTTTAACGTTGCCTTCTCTATTTGTATACGAACTTTCAATATATATGTATCAAAATAAGGATACACAACTACTTAACAAGGATATAAATGCCTTCATAACAAGGCAGAGTGAAAATATGTATGTTCCTTTCGCCAAATACTGTATCGGTAATAGGTCACCTAGAGTTTTGGGGCCTAAAATATATAATAAACTGCCAGAAGAAATAAAAATCTGCAGTTCACTGCAACATTTTAAAAATAGGTTAAAGGCTTTTTTATTAAATAAATGTTCGTACGCTATTTCAGAGTTTGTTAATGTGTAGATGGTATGTTTGTTTCTCATATTTGTTTGTTACTTATTTTCCATGTTTGTTATAGATTTTTTATTTTTGACGAATCTTATGCATACTTATGTCTATTGGATAATAAAGGATTATTATTATTAATATTATCTTTCATCTTTCATCTTTCATCTTTCATCTTTCATCTTTCATCTTTCATCTTTCATCTTTCATCTTTCATCTTTCATCGTTCATCTTTCATCTTTCATCTTTCATCTTTCATCTTTCATCTTTCAGCTTTCAGCTTTCATCTTTCATCTTTCATCTTTCATCTTTCATCTTTCATCTCTCATCATTCATCATTCATAATTCATCATTCATCATTCATCTTTCATCTTTCATCTTTCATCTTTCATCTTTCATCGTTCATCTTTCATCTTTCATCTTTCATCTTTCATCTTTCATTTTGCATCTTGCATCTTTCATCTTTCATCTTTCATCGTTCATCTTCCATCTTTCATCTTTCATCTTTCATATTTCATCTTTCATCTTTCATCTTTCATCTTTCATCTTTCATCTGTCACCTTTCATCTTCCATCTGTCACCTTTTATCTTTCATCTGTCACCTTTCATCTTTCATCTGTCACCTTTCATCTTTCATCTTTCATCTTTCATCTTTCATCAGCTATGTCCACACTGTGCCTTTTTTGTTCAATAAGGGCATGCGCTATAGCGCAGTCAACAGCGCACGTGATGCATGCCTTTAACGCAAGCGCGATGGCAGTTGAAAGCGAAGCGCCCGCTGTGATACACGTTTTCCGGCGTCGGGTGGATGTCTGTGCCTTATAGCGTTCAACAACAAGATGGCGGACGAATAAAAAGATTTAACATTAAAGTTTATTGAAGATTACAGAAGCTTTCCACAACTCTGGGATCCAAATAATAAACTTTATACAAATAAAGTAAAGAGAAACGATGGTTTGCAAGTTCTGGCTACTAAATATAAAATGGATATCGATGGAGTTAAAAAAAAGATAAAAAGTCTTCGCTCGTATTTTTCCAAAGAGCATCAAAAAGTCATCAGGAAAAAGAGCGGTGCTGGATCCGATGAGATTTATGTTTCACCGTGGTTTGCTTACAAACAACTCTTATTCACTGCTGACTCGGTGACGCCTCGGGAAACTAGAGAAAGTAGTACTGAGGATGAAAAGGTATTTTAAAATGCATATTTATTTAGGCAAATCAATTTATTACTTTTTCCACAAAATAAATGTGATAGGTATATAGTTATAAGTGTCGGGTTTGAAACGGTATTGCTCCAATATCTGACATGAAATAATTCATAAATTCATCTCATATTTAGTTCGATGTATTTGATGACCTACGAGGAATTCTTTGAAGTGGCCTATAACCGCTGTCATCGGCAGTTATTACTCTCCATGACACGGGAATGATTTCTCCAGTGCTTACATCCTCATTATCAAAACAACCTGGAGGGCAGTAATCCCGTGTAGAATCTATCTGCATTCGTAGAAAATTGTGTATGTAAACACAACTCAAAACAACGTCAATTACAGTACTGTCGACTTTTAATTCAATGGGCTTACGGAATATTCTGAATACAGATGCGAGAAGCCCAAACGCATTTTCAACGATACGTCTTGCCCTAGATAACCTATAATTATACACTCTTTTTGGTGACCCCACATTTAAATCGGTTGAATATGGTTTCAGAGTATAGGTACTTAGTGCAAATGCATCATCAGCAACTAATACGTAAGGTACTGACATGGTTCTACCACATAGTGGTTCACTATTTGGTAAATTAAATTCGTGTTTTTCAATTTGCTTATAAAATGAAGTGGATTTGAAAACACCACCGTCCGAAATACGACCCTGACAACCAACATTAACATATGTAAAACAATAGTTTGCATCTACAATTGCAAACAATACTATGCTATGTGTTCCTTTGTAGTTATGAAATTCGCCCACTGTATTTTCTGGTGTTTGGATGACCACATGTTTTCCATCCATGGCGCCAATACAATGTGGAAAGTTCCATCGCTTGTCAAAATCATTCGCAATCGCTTTCCATTGCTCCTCGTTTGTTGGTAACTGTAAAAACAAACAAAAAAAAAAGGATTTCAGTACGATTTATATTTTTTGCAGGACACGCCGGCTGAAATATTAAATAGAGAAAACTCTGCGACTTCACAGTCTACGTGAATATCTGAAGACGAGCATGAATTTACCCTACCACCAATAAGAAAGAAGAGAAATATTAAAAGTACAACGAATGACGATAAAGAGGCGGAAGCTTACAATTTTATGAAAAAAGCTAGTGAAGAATGAAGTCAAAAAGATGAGTTCACTACTTATGGACAATTGATAGCTCATAAAATTCGAAACCTTAATACATTTAATCGGCTTATAGCTCAGCAACGCATAAACAATATACTCTTTAATCTGGAAATGCAACAGATAACTGGTGCAGCAGCAACGCATAATGTTACCGAGATGCGGAATGGAACTGAGATGAGGAATGCGACTGAGATACAGAATATGACTGAGATACATAATGTTACTGATATGCGGAATATGACTGAGATACATAATTTTACGGAGATACCGGAGACACAGGCTGATTTAATCATTATAGATATTAGCAATATTTCTGAATTTGTTCTATTTAAAAAATGATTATGGTTGTGTTTTTTAATAAATGAAACTGTTACTTACCTTAATATAATCCTTGAGTATTTCAATTATGGCTTTTAATACATCTGGTAGCATTGCTGATATGAACCTTTTCTCTCTGAAGTTGACTGTTTTCTTCCGCGATTCAATTTTTGCTTTGCAGTTCTTTCACTAGCGTTCTTAGAAGATCCAACTTCGTCGAATCTTCACAGAGCAACGTGCTTACACTTTCTCTTCTTACCTTGCTTGATTGATGTATACAATCGGCATTTTTCAGCTCGGCTGCCTGGTCAATTTAACAAACCTCAAGATATTGTCAACGCTTTTCAAGATTTTTTCCAGTCCACATATTCACCTTCCACAAACTTTACACCCACGGACTCACAAGACTGCCCCTCATTACCCTTGAATATACTAATAATTACTGAGAATCAGGTTGTTGCCGCTTTGAAAAAGATTAAACCCAAGGTATCTTCCACTCCAGACCTAATCCCTGCATCTTTACTGAAAGACTATGCTTTTGCTTTAGCTGAGCCTTTAGTTTATCTGTATAACACATCTCTTAATACTACAACTAGCGCAGTTGCTAGCATGCTAACGCTATGCTAAATATTGTTCGTTGATGTATTTATTTAAAACCACCCGTAGCGCAGTTGCTGGTATGGTAATGCAATGGTAGCGATATACTTTATCCCTATCTCTAATCATTTTTTATGCTTTAGCATCTTTGATCTGTTATCTGGTATCTGGTATCTGGTATCTTTTATCTGTTAATCTGTGATCTGTTATTTGTTATATGTTATTCGTTATATGTTATCTGTTAACCACTAACCGTTATCTTTTATCGTCTATAAGAAAAAATAAATTTAATGGTGGAGGACAAAAGACGAAAATCAACATGCTATCCTTTCAGTCATTAACGATATCTGTTATTTCTTTTGTAAACTTGTTGTCATCACTAATTCATTAATCAGAAAGAATTAGAATATGTGTACCATAAACATTATTGATTTGTTGTAGATATTTTACTGTTCCCAAAATTTCAAATAACTGTAGGATATATGGATGATTTTGATAATGTCCTGTGTGATTGACCCTGCTGCTCCAAAATATACATAAGTGAACACTTACTTGTCGAGACAGCAGTTGATAGCATGCTAACACTATGCTAAATATTGTACGTTGATGTCTTTATTTAAAAACTCCCGTAGCGCAGTTGCTGGTATGCTAATGCAATGCTAGCGATATACTTTATCCCTATCTTTAATCATTTTCTAACCTTTAGCATTTTTGATCTTTTATCTGTTGTTATCTCTTGTCTGTTGGCGGTTGTCGGTTGTCTGTTGTCTGTTGCCTATTGTCTGTTGTCTGTTGTCTGTCAATTTTACGCTTTACGCGGATGATGCGGCAATCATATTGTTCAGCAAATCCAATCAAGTTTTAAAAGAAGACTGTGAACATTTATTAAACAGTGTTCATGATTGGTTTAGCGCACATCATCTTCACCTGAATGTGGAGAAGACGGCAATGATGAGATTTCACAACGTGCACAAACAAATGACTCCCCTTGATCTTCGAGTTAAAGATAATCAACTAAGTGTTCTCAAAGAAACAAAATTCTTGGGCTTGTGGTTGGACGAATGTTTCAATTTCAAGGCCCAGTGTGATCGATTGGTATCCAGGTTGAACTCACAGTCATATGTGTATAAAGTTCTACGAGCCACATAGACTGGAGACCAGTTAATGACACTCTATTATGCTCAGGTAGAGTCTAGGCTGAAATATGGTTTGTGCTTCTGGGGAGTATCGACCATGCCTTTTTAAGTCAGAAAAGAATTCTAAGATCTATGGCCGGAGTAAGCTCACTATATAGCTGTAGGGAGCTGTTCCAAAAGTACCAAATTTTAACGTTGCCTTCTCTATTTGTATACGCACTTTCAATATATATGTATCAAAATAAGGATACACAACTACTTAACAAAGATATAAATGCCTTCATAACAAGGCAGAGTGAAAATATGTATGTTCCTTTCGCCAAATACTGTGTCGGTAGTAGGTCACCTAGAGTTTTGGGGCCTAAAATATATAATAAACTGCCAGAAGAAATAAAAATCTGCAGTTCACTGCAACATTTAAAAAATAGGTTAAAGGCTTTTTTATTAAATAAATGTTTGTACGCTGTTTCAGAGTTTGTTAATGTGTAGATGGTATGTTTGTTTCTCATATTTGTTTGTTACTTATTTTCCATGTTTGTTATAGATTTTTTATTTTTGACGAATCTTATGCATACTTATGTCTTTTATATAATAAAGGATTATTATTATTATTATTATCTTTCATCTTTCATCTTTCATCTTTCATCTTCCATCTTCCATCTTTCATCTTTCATCTTTCATCTTTCATCTTTCATCTTTCATCTTTCATCTTTCATCTTTCATCTTTCATCTTTCATCTTTCATCTTTCATCTTTCATCTTTCATCTTTCATCTTTCATCTTTCATCTTTCATCTTTCATCTTTCATCTTTCATCTTTCATCTTCATCTTTCATCTTTCATCTTTCATCTTTCATCTTTCATCTTTCATCTTTCATCTTTCATCTTTCATCTTTCATCTTTATCTCATCTTCAATCTTTCATCTTTCATCTTTCATCTTTCATCTTTCATCTTTCTTCTGCATCATCTTTCATCTTTCATCTTTCATCTTTCATCTTTCATCTTTCATCTTTCATCTTTCATCGTTCATCTTTCATCTTTCCTCTTTCATCTTCAGCTTTCATATTTCATCTTTCTCTTTCCTCTTTCATCTTTTATCTTTTATCGTTCATCGTCATCTTTCATCTTTCATCTTTCATCTTCATCTTTCATCTTTCCTCTTTCATCTTTCATCATTCATCATTCATTCATTCATCATTCATCATTCATCATTCATCATTCATCTTTCATCATTCATCATTCATCTTCATCATTCATCTTTCATCTTTCATCTTTCATCTTTCATCTTTCATCTTTCATCTTTCATCTTTCATCTTCATTCTTTCATCTTTCATCTTCATCTTTCATTCTTCATCTTTCATCTTTCATCTTTCATCGTTCATCTTTCATCTTTCATCTCATCTTCAGCTTTCATCTTTCATCTTTCATCTTCCATCTTTCATCTTTCATGTTTCATCTTTCATCTTTCATCTTTCATCTTTCATCTTTCATCTTTCATCTTTCATCTTTCATCTTTCATCTTTCATCTTTCATCTTTCATCTTTCATCTTTCATCTTTCATCGTTCATCTTTCATCTTTCATCTTTCATCGTTCATCTTTCATCTTTCATCTCTCATCTTTCATCATTCATCATTCATCATTCATCATTCATCATTCATCATTCATCATTCATCATTCATCATTCATCTTTCATCATTCATCTTCATCGTTCATCTTCATCGTTCATCGTTCATCTTTCATCTTTCATCTTTCATCTTTCTATTTCATCTTTCATCATTCATCATTCATCTTTCATCTTTCATCTTTCATCTTGCATCTTGCATCTTTCATCTTTCATCTTTCATCTTTCAGCTTTCACTTTCATCTTCATCTTTCATCTTCATCATTCATCATTCATCATTCATCATTCATCATTTCATCATTCATCATTCATCATTCATCATTCATCTTTCATCTTTCATCTTTCATCTTTCATCATTCATCATTCATCATTCATCATTTCATCATTCATCATTCATCATTCATCTTTCATCTTTCATCTTTCATCTTTCGTCTTTCGTCTTTCGTCTTTCGTCTTTCGTCTTTCGTCTTTCGTCTTTCGTCTTTCGTCTTTCGTCTTTCGTCTTTCGTCTTTCGTCTTTCGTCTTTCGTCTTTCGTCTTTCGTCTTTCGTCTTTCGTCTTTCGTCTTTCATCTTTCATCTTTCATCTCTCATCTTTCATCATTCATCATTCATCATTCATCATTCATCATTCATCATTCATCATTCATCATTCATCATTCATCATTCATCATTCATCTTTCATCATTCATCTTTCATCTTTCATCGTTCATCTTTCATCTTTCATCTTTCATCTTTCATCGTTCATCTTTCATCTTTCATCTTTCATCTTTCATCTTTCATCTTTCATCTTTCATCTTCATCTTTCATCTTCCATCTTCCATCTTTTATCTTTCATCATTCAGCTTTCATCTTTCATCTTTCAGCTTTCATCTTTCATCTTTCATCATTCATCATTCATCATTTCATCATTCATCATTTACCATTCGTCTTTCGTCTTTCGTCTTTCGTCTTTCGTCTTTCGTCTTTCGTCTTTCGTCTTTCGTCTTTCGTCTTTCGTCTTTCGTCTTTCGTCTTTCGTCTTTCGTCTTTCGTCTTTCGTCTTTCGTCTTTCGTCTTTCGTCTTTCGTCTTTCGTCTTTCGTCTTTCGTCTTTCGTCTTTCATCTTTCATACTTTCGTCTTTCATCTTTCATCTTTCACCTTTCATCTTTCATCTTTCGTCTTTCGTCTTTCGTCTTTCGTCTTTCGTCTTTCGTCTTTCGTCTTTCGTCTTTCGTCTTTCATCTTTCATCTTTCATCTCTCATCTTCATCATTCATCATTCATCATTCATCATTCATCATTCATCATTCATCATTCATCATTCATCATTCATCTTTCATCTTTCATCGTTCATCTTTCATCTTTCATCTTTCATCGTTCATCTTTCATCTTTCATCTTTCATCTTTCATATTTCATCTTTCATCTTTCATCTTCATCATTCATCATTCATCATTCATCTTTCATCTTGCATCTTGCATCTTTCATCTTTCATCTTTCATCTTTCATCTTTCATCTTTCATCTTCCATCCTCCATCTTTATCTTTCATCATTCAGCTTTCATCTTTCATCTTTCATCTTTCAGCTTTCATCTTTCATCATTCATCATTCATCATTCATCATTTCATCATTCATCTTTCATCTTTCATCTTTCATCTTTCATCTTTCATCTTTCATCTTTCATCTTTCATCTTTCATCTTTCATCTTTCATCTTTCATCTTTCATCTTTCATCTTTCATCTTTCATCTTTCATCTTTCATCTTCCATCTTCCATCTTTTATCATTCATCATTCAGCTTTCATCTTTCATCTTTCATCTTTCAGCTTTCATCTTTCATCTTTCATCATTCATCATTCATCATTTCAATCATTTCATCATTCATCATTTATCATTCATCTTTCATCTTTCGTCTTTCGTCTTTCGTCTTTCGTCTTTCGTCTTTCGTCTTTCGTCTTTCGTCTTTCGTCTTTCGTCTTTCGTCTTTCGTCTTTCGTCTTTCGTCTTTCGTCTTTCGTCTTTCGTCTTTCGTCTTTCGTCTTTCGTCTTTCGTCTTTCGTCTTTCGTCTTTCGTCTTTCGTCTTTCGTCTTTCGTCTTTCGTCTTTCGTCTTTCGTCTTTCGTCTTTCGTCTTTCATCTTTCATACTTTCATCTTTCATCGTTCATCGTTCATCGTTCATCTTTCATCTTTCATCTTTCACCTTTCAGCTTTCAGCTTTCAGCTTTCATCTTTCATCTTTCATCATTCATCATTCATCATTCATCTTCATCTTCATCTTTCATCTTTCATCTTTCATCTTTCATCTTTCATCTTTCATCTTTCCAGCTTTCATCTTTCATCTTTCATCTTCATCTTTCATCTTTCATCTTTCATCTCTCATCTGTCATCATTCATCATTCATCATTCATCATTCATCCTTCATCCTTCATCTTCATCTTTCATCTTTCATCTTTTCATCTTCCATCTTTCATCTTTCATCTTTCATCTTTCATCTTTCATCTTTCATCTTTCATCTCTCATCTTTCATCATTCATCATTCATCCTTCATCTTTCATCTTTCATCTTCCATCTTTCATCTTTCATCTTTCATCTTTCATCATTCATCATTCATCTTTCATCTTTCATCTTTCATCTTTCATCTTTCATCTTTCATCGTTCATCTTTCATCTTTCATCTTTCATCTTTCATCTTTCAGCTTTCAGCTTTCATCTTTCATCTTCATCTTTCATTTTCATCTTTCATCTTCATCTTTCATCTTTCATCTTTCATCTCTCATTTTTCATCATTCATCATTCATCATTCATCTTCCATCTTCATCTTTCATCTTTCATCTTTCATCTTCCATCTTCATCTTTCATCTTTCATCTTTCATCTTTCATCTTTCAACTTTCATCTTTCGTCTTTCATCTTTCATCATCTTTCATCTTTCATCTCTCATCTTTCATCTTTCATCTTTCATCTTTCATCTTTCATCTTTCATCGTTCATCTTTCATCTTTCATCTTTCATCTTTTATCTCTCATCTTCATCATCCATCATTTATCATTCATCATTCATCATTCATCATTCATCTTCATCTTTCATCATTCATCTTTCATCTTTCATCTTTCATCTTTCATCTTTCATCTTTCATCTTTCATCTTTCATCTTCCATCTTTCATCTTTCATCTTCCATCTCTCATCTTTCATCATTCATCATTCATCTTCATCTTTCATCTTTCATCTTTCATCTTTCATCTTTCATCTTTCATCTTTCATCGTTCATCTTTCATCTTTCATCTTTCATCTTTCATCTTTCATCTTTCATCTTTCATCTTTCAGCTTTCAGCTTTCAGCTTTCATCTTTCATCTTTCATCATTCATCATTCATCATTCATCATTCATCATTCATCATTCATCATTCATCATTCATCATTCATCCTTCATCTTTCATCTTTCATCTTTCATCTTTCACTGCACGATGGCGTCAAGTGAAAGACGTGCTAATAGTTCTGTTACAAAATGTTGCAAGCGTTGTGGTGTTATCGCGAAAAGTGGTCCGCAATGTGCTAATTGTAAAACTGTCATACATGCGGGATCCGTCAAGTACATGAAAAACCTGCAAAAGATTGATGATAAATCGGTTATCTGTTGTTCTATTGACGACCCCTCAGAAGAAACAATCAAAACAATGGAGGACGAACAGATCGACGAGGATAGCGACATCTCATTTTGGAGTGTCAGAGAAATGATTGATGTAGATATAAGTGAGAAAGACAATATATTACTAAGGGAACTAATCAGACATAAGAATTTGATTATCAAAACACAACAGCAAACCATTAAAAGTTTGCTTGACCGAGTATCAACTTTATCAAAGATATTGGAACAGACATCGCCATCTGTTGCCGATATTAACAGGCAACCAATTCTATCGTCATGTTATCAATACGGAAAACACAAGACATCTACCAACAAGTACAGTGATGTTATAAAGAAACCATCCAGTTCATCAATTCAAAAGCCAGTCACATCGAACGCAGCCAATAATACTGGCAACGCTGTAACGAGGCGGCAAGTGGCACTTGCAGTCGAGCAGGCGCTGTCGTTAAATGGTGCTGCAGTACCAGTAGAAACGTCCGCATCCACTTTGTCCCCTTCAACTCAACAGTCTGGCGACGGCGGTGATGGAGTTACAAGCGAGAGTTCGTGGCAGTTAGTTGATCGACAACGCAGAAGACGCAATCTAATAATTGGGAATGGGTCCGACAGCTGTCCGGTTAAGGGCGTTGAAAGAAAAGTTGCGTTGCATGTCAGCAGAATTCATCCGAAAACGAAATTATGTGAGATGGAGTCAATGGTTAAGGCTAATTTCCCTGAGGCTATTGTTGAATGAATTACTTCAAAATATCCGGATATTTATTCGTCATTTAAAGTAACTATATCAGAAAGTAACTTTAAAACTGCATTAAACGTATCAATATGGCCGAAAAATACGTGTATAAATCGTTTTTTACAGAAAAGAAGAGTTTTACCGACATCGACATAGCCTAATCTAATACTGCTTAATGTTCAATGCTTAAATATTGACAAAGTCAATCAGCTACATGTTATGGTATCTGACTATGCAAGAGTGAAGTTCTTCTGCCTAACTGAAACTTGGGCTACAGCTGAATCACTTAATAATTTTGTTATTGAGAATTTTCAGTTAGTTAGCTCATATTTTAGATCGTCGTACAAAGGCGGTTGCCTAGCGATTTATTGTAGAGGTGATGTTATTGCAAAACCTATTGACGTATCTCAGTTTTCACTGGATAAGAATATTGAGTTGTGTGCCATTCAATTCTCAAATGGTGGTATACGTAGCATCATCATTTTGTGCTATAGATCTCCCTCGGGAGATATGAAAATATTCCATGACAATCTGAATAGGGCTCTAAATTTTGTTTTTAGGCCAAATATAAATATAATTCTCTGTGGCGACTTCAATGTAGATTCTTATAATCATAACGACGATAATGAGGCACTTGTGAATGCTCTGTCTGAGTTTGGCTTGCATCCACAGGTAGGTTGGCCAACAAGGATTGGGCGCACGTCTATCACAACGATAGACCAAGTTTTCACCAACTTCAATGATAAATGTTTGAATTGCGTTGTTGATAATGTAATATCTGACCATCGAACAGTACTTATAGAAATTATGGAATGTCCTCAAGCTGAGGATGCGGTAAAAGAAACAGTTAAAAGGGTTTTTGATACCCGGTCTGTTCAAAACTTCGTTTTAGACTTAAGTAAGGAAAACTGGTCACCACTGTATAGTTACCGGGATATAAATAATGCATTTGAGTACTTCTTTCGAGTGTTTGACTATCACTTCCAAATACATTTTCCACTGCGTAAATGTCTGATTAAAAACAACAGCAAGAAATGGGTCGATGACAATGTAAAGTTGTCGAGTTCATGCTTGCGTGAACAGCATATGTTGTCAACAATTATCCCTGAGTACAGACAACATTATCTAGATGCAAAAAAACAACATCAGAAGCTTGTCAGAAAAACAAAAAAGGCATATTATCAACAAAAAATATCCAATTCGCACAACGTGATGAAGGCTGCCTGGAATGTGGTTTCTGACATAAACGGAAGAAATAGAGTACCAAAGAACATTGTACTGCTTGATGATGAATTAACCATTAGAAATCCACAAGAAATTTCTAATTATTTTAACTATTTTAAACAGGCTCCTTTGGATATTATTCAAAAAATATCTAAGGATACAAATCCAGTTCCAAGTGATCATACCTGCGACCAAAAATCTTTTATGTTTTTATACCCTTTCTTGGAGGAAGAATTCTATAAACTAATTAATGATAAGTTAAAAAACAAGCGTTCTTCAGGCACCGATGAAGTTCCGAATTTCTTAGTCAAGAAAATATTATTGTACATAACCAAACCTTTTGTTTTTCTAGTTAATTTATCATTCTGCACTGGTGTATTTCCAAACAACCTGAAAACAGGAAAAGTAACTCCAATTCTTAAGAAAGGAGATACTTCTTTGGTTAGCAATTACAGACCGGTGACTGTTCCATGCTGTTTTTCCAAGATTCTTGAGTATTGTTTTTTAGATCGACTTCTGCTGTTCTTGGAAAGCAATGACACTCTATCATCCAATCAACATGGTTTCCGTATTGGAAAATCAACCATGACCGCATGTCATTCATTTATCAACAGGTTAGTCTACTGTATTGAGGCAGGAGAATGCCCGGTTGGGATATTTTGTGACCTCAGTAGGGCGTTCGACTGTGTCAGTCATGACATACTATTAGCCAAACTAACAGACTATGGAATTGGTGGTTCAGCCTACCTGTGGATAAAATCGTACTTGCAGAATAGGTCACAATTCGTGGCAATAACACACAACAACGCTGGTCAACTGAAGCAGGTCAAATCGGATATGGTTAACATAAATATAGGCGTACCACAAGGATCTATATTGGGGCCAGTGCTGTTTTCCTTTTATATAAATAACCTGGAGCAATGTTTCCCTGAAGCACATTTCACGTTGTATGCAGACGATGCCTCCATCATTATATCAAATAAAGACGAGGCTGATTTAATAAATAAATGTAACACCTTAGTGTACAACATCAATAGCTGGTTCGACGAAAATCAGTTACTTCTTAATAGCGAGAAGACCACAGTTATAAGGTTCCATAACATTCAAAAGTCGATCCCACCGATTCAGCTTATTCTGAACGCCTCAGCACTGCAGAGTGATAAAAGCACTAAGTTTTTAGGGCTCCACTTAGACCAATGTCTCAACTTTAAAGGACATTGCGATTGTCTATCATCAAAAATAAATTCACAAGCATATTTATTCAAGAACCTGAGATCTGTTTTTACAGAGAATCAGCTATTGATGTTGTATCATGGTCAGGTTGAGTCTCGCATGCTGTATGCTTTGTGCTTCTGGGGCTCATCGGTGAACGCTTCTAAGGTGTTCCTAAGTCAAAAACGGCTGGTGAGGTGTATGGTGGGAGTAAGCAGCACTTATAGTTGCAGAGAGTTATTCAAGAGATTAAAAATAATGACACTGCCTTCGCTTTTTCTCTACAATATGGCTATCTATACTTTTTCAAACAAAGATGATTCCACCTTGAATAGTCATATACATCAAATGGGCACTCGCAGACAAAACGACATCCATATACCTTTTGCGCGTTATAAGTTAGGCAGCAGATCACCATGTATTTTAGGTCCTAAAATTTTAACAACTTGCCTGACTCCATAAAAAGGATCACCTCAATAGGCCAATTCAAATGTGAGCTGAAAAGCTACTTTATAAGTAACTGTTTTTATGCAATTAGCGACTTTGTCAGCTTTTAAATATCGTTTTTTATCACTAATTTTAACTTGTTTGTTGTTGGATGTTATTTGTTTGTTTTTTTTTAATTTATTTATTTACTTTGTACATATTTACTTATTGTATCTTTTTGACGAAACCTATACATGTTCATGCATGTCTAATGGAAAATAAATTCATTATTATTATTATTATTATCTTTCATCTTTCATCTCTCATCTTTCATCCTTCATCATTCATCCTTCATCTTTCATCTTCCATCTTCTTTCATCTTTCATCTTTCATCTTTCATCTTTCATCTTTCATCTCTCATCTTTCATCATTCATCACTCATCATTCATCATTCATCCTTCATCTTTCATCTTTCATCTTTCATCTTTCATCTTTCATCTCTCATCATCATCATTCATCTTTCATCTTTCATCTTTCATCTTTCATCTTTCATCGTTCATCTTTCATCGTTCATCTTTCATCTTTCATCTTTCATCTTTCAGCTTTCATCTTTCATCTTTCATCTTTTATCTCTCATCTTTCATCATTCAACATTCATCATTCATCATTCATCCTTCATCTTTCATCTTTCATCTTCATCTCTCATCTTCATCATTCATCATTCATCATTCATCTTTCATCTTTCATCTTTCATCTTTCATCGTTCATCTTTCATCGTTCATCTTTCATCTTTCATCTTTCATCTTTCATCTTTCATCTTTCATCTTTCAGCTTTCATCTTTCATCTTTTATCTTCAGCTTTCAGCTTTCATCTTTCATTTTTCATCTTTCATCTTTCATCTTTCATCGTTCATCTTTCATCTTCATCTTCATCTTTCATCTTTCATCTTTCATCTTTCAGCTTTCATCTTCATCTTTCATCTTTCATCTTTCATCTTTCATCTTTCATCTCTCATCTTCATCATTCATCATTCATCCTTCATCCTTCATAGTTCATCTTTCATCTTCCATCTTCCATCTTTATCTTCATCATTCAGCGTTCATCATCTTTCATCTTTCATCTCTCATCTTTCATCATTCATCAGTCATCATTCATCATTCATCATTCATCATCCATCATTCATCACTCATCACTCATCACTCATCACTCATCTTCATCTTTCATCTTTCATCTTTCATCTTTCATCTTTCATCTTTCATCTTTCATCTTTCATCTTTCATCTTTCATCTTTCATCTTTCATCTTTCATCTCTCATCTCTCATCTCTCATCTTTCATCATTCATCATTCATCTTTCATCATTCATCTTTCATCTTTCATCTTCATCTTTCATCTTTCATCTTTCATCTTTCAATCTTCATCTTTCATTCATCGTTCATCGTTCATCGTTCATCTTTCATCTTCATCCTTCATCTTTCATCTTTCATCTTTCATCATCTTTCATCATCTTTCATCTTTCATCTTTCATCTTTCATCTTTCATCTTCATCTTTCATCTTTCATCTTTCATCTTTCATCTTTCATCTTTCATCTTTCATGTTTCATCTTTCATCTTTCATCTTTCATCTTTCATATTTCATCTTTCATCTTTCATCTTTCATCTTTTATCATCTTTCATCTTTTATCTTTCATCTTGCATCTTTCATCTTTCATCTTTCATCTTTCATCGTTCATCTTCATCGTTCATCTTTCATCTTCACCATCCATCATTCATCATTCATCATTCATCATTCATCATTCATCATTCATCATTCATCATTCATCATTCATCATTCATCTTTCATCTTTCATCTTTCCTTCATCTTTCATCGTTATCTTTCATCGTTCATCTTTCATCTTTCATCTTTCATCTTTCATCTTTCATCTTTCATCTTTCAGCTTCAGCTTTCATCTTCAGCTTTCAGCTTTCATCCGTTCATTTTTCATCTTTCATCTTTCATCTTTCATCTTTCATCTTTCATCTTTCATCTTGTCATCTTTCATCTTTCATCTTTCAGCTTTCATCATTCATCGTTCATCTTTCATCTTTCATCTTTCACTCTCATCTTTCATCATTCATCATCCATCATTCATCATTCATCCTTCATCCTTCATCTTTCATCTTTCATCTTTCATCATCTCCACTTCCATCTTTATCTTTCATCATTCAGCTTTCACATCTTCATCTCTCATCTTTCATCATTCATCAGTCATCATTCATCATTCATCATTCATCACTCATCTTTCATCTTTCATCTTTCATCTTTCATCTTTCATCTTTCATCTTTCATCTTTCATCTTTCATCTTCATCTTCATCTTTCATCTTTCATCTTTCATCTTCTTCACCTTTCATCTTTCATCTTTCACCATCCATCATTCATCATTCATCATTCATCATTCATCATTCATCATTCATCATTCATCATTCATCATTCATCATTCATCATTCATCATTCATCATTCATCTTTCATCTTTCATCTTTCATCTTTCATCGTTCATCTTTCATCGTTCATCGTTCATCTTTCATCTTTCATCTTTCATCTTTCATCTTTCATCATCTTTTCATCTTTCAGCTTTCATCTTTCATCTTTCAGCTTTCAGCTTTCATCTTTCATTTTTCATCTTTCATCTTCATCTTTCATCGTTCATCTTTCATCTTTCATCTTTCATCTTTCATCTTTCAGCTTTCATCTTTCATCATTCATCATTCATCTTTCATCTTTCATCTTTCATCTTTCATCTCTCATCTTTCATCATTCATCATTCATCATTCATCAGTCATCCGTCATCCTTCATCTTTCATCTTTCATCTTTCATCTTTCATCTTTCATCTTCCATCTTTTATCTTTCATCATTCAGCTTTCATCTTTCATCTTTCATCTTTCATCTCTCATCTTTCATCATTCATCAGTCATCATTCATCATTCATCATTCATCATTCATCACGCATCTTTCATCTTTCATCTTTCATCTTTCATCTTTCATCATCTTTCATCTTTCATCTTTCATCTTTCATCTTTCATCTTTCATCTTTCATCTTTCACCTTTCACTTTCATCTTTCATCTTTCATCTTTCATCTTTCATCTTTCATCTTTCATCATTCATCATTCATCTTTCATCTTTCATCTTTCATCTTTCATCATTCATCCTTCATCCTTCATCTTTCATCTTTCATCTTTCATCTTTCATCTTCCATCTTCCATCTTTTATCTTTCATCATTCAGCTTTCATCTTTCATCTCTCATCTTTCATCATTCATCAGTCATCATTCATCATTCATCATTCATCATTCATCACTCATCACTCATCTTTCATCTTTCATCTTTCATCTTTCATCTTTCATCTTTCATCTTTCATCTTCATCTTTCATCTTTCATCTTCATCTATTCACCTTTCATCTTTCATCTTTCACCATCCATCATTCATCATTCATCATTCATCATTCATCATTCATCATCATCATTCATCATTCATCATTCATCATTCATCATTCATCATTCATCATTCATCATTCATCATTCATCATTCATCTTTCATCTTTCATCTTTCATCTCTCATCGTTCATCTTTCATCGTTCATCTTTCATCTTTCATCTTTCATCTTTCATCTTTCATCTTTCATCTTTCAGCTTTCATCTTTCATCTTTCAGCTTTCAGCTTTCATTCATTTTCATTTTCATCTTTCATCTTTCATCGTTCATCGTTCACTTTCATCTTTCATCTTTCATCTTTCATCATCTTTCAGCTTTCATCTTTCATCATCATCTTTCATCATTCATCTTCATCTTTCATCATCTTCATCTTTCATCTCTCATCTTTCATCATTCATCATTCATCATTCACATTCATCCTTCATCCTTCATCTTTCATCTTCATCTTTCATCTTTCATCTTCATCTTCCATCTTCCATCTTTTATCTTTCATCATCAGCTTTCATCTTCATCTTTCATCTTTCATCGCTCATCTTTCATCATCATCAGTCACATTCATCATCACATCATTCATCATTCATCACCATCACTCATCTTTCATCTTCATCTTTCATCTTTCATCTTTCATCTTCATCTCTTCATCTTTCATCTTTCATCTTTCATCTTTCACCGTTCACCTTTCATCTTCATCTTTCATCTTTCATCTTTCATCATTCATCATTCATCTTTCACTTCATCTTTCATCTTCATCTTTCATCTTTCATCTTTCATCTTCATCGTTCATCTATTCATCTTTCATCTTTCATCTTCTCTTCATCTTTCATCTTCATCTTTCATCTTTCATCTTCCATCATCTTTCATCTTTCATCTCTCATCTTTCATCTTTCATCTTTCATCTTTCATCTTTCATCTTTCAGCTTTCATCTTTCATCTTTCATCTTTCATCTTTCATCTTTCACCTTTCATCCTTTCATCTTTCATCTTTCATCTTTCATTGTTTCATCTTTCATCTTTCATCTTTCATCTTTCATCTTTCATCTTTCATCTTTCATCTTTCATCTTTCATCTTTCATCATCTTTCATCTTCACTTTCATCTTTCATCTTTCATCTTTCATCTTTCATCTTTCATCTTTCATCTTTCATCTTTCATCGTTCATCTTTCATCTTTCATCTTTCATCTTTCATCTTTCATCTTTCATCTTTCATCTTTCATCTTTCATCTTCATCTTTCATCTTCATCGTTCATCTTTCATCTTTCATCTTTCATCCTTCACCATCCATCATTCATCATTCATCATTCATCATTCATCATTCATCATTCATCATTCATCATTCATCATTCATCATTCATCTCTCATCTTTCGTCATTCATCATTCATCATTCATCTTTCATCTTTCATCTTTCATCTTTCATCTTTCATCTTTCATCTTTCATCTTTCATCTTTCATCTTTCATCTTTCATCTTTCATCTTTCATCTTTCATCGTTCATCTTTCATCTTTCATCTTTCATCTTTCATCTTTCAGCTTTCATCTTTCATCTTTCATCTTTCATCTCTCATCTTTCATCATTCATCATTCATCATTGATCATTCATCCTTCATCTTTCATCTTTCATCTTTCATCTTTCATCTTTCATCTTCCATCTTTTATCTTTTAATATGTGATCTGTTATTTTTTAATATGTTATCCGTTAACCACTAAAGAATAGAAAAAAAATAAATTTTAGCATATAGCATTAATGCCTCTAAACAATTGTATAACAGACTCAGATTCATGTGAGGAGCCGGTAACGCCGCACGTGACGTTATTAATAACACACATGGCGTTATAAAATCTTCCATATAGCATTGAAAATACCCTATATAAAATTGTATAGCAGACTCAGGTTTATATGAGGAGCCGGCACCGTCGCATGCGTCGTTGTTAATAACACGCATGACGTTATAAAATCTTCCATATACTCGTAGCATTAAAAATGTCCTCTATAAAATTGTATGAGACTCAGATTTATGCGAGGAGTCGGCAACGTCGCATGTGTCGTTGTTAATAACACACATTTTATAAAATCTTCCATATAGCATTACCCGCTAAGAAATTGTATAATAGACTCAGATTTATGTGAGGAGCCGGAAACGTCGCATGTGTCACCATTAATAGCACAGAATGGCATTATAAAATATTCGATACAGCATTAATGCCCTCTATAAAATTGTATGACAAACTCAGATTTATGTGAGGATCCGGCAACGTCGCATAAGTCTAGCTACCACACGACTGGCAAAAAAATGGCGCTTGACACTGACATATGTCAACCGTGTTCGCCTAAGGGTACAAACATAGTGGAACGACGAGGCTAGAGGCATAGCGACGAGGTAAGCGAACGCGGCTTTTATTTCATCGTGTATTGTAATGAAACCAAACATAGTAAAGAGGTTGACGCAGTACTAAGCGACGAGACAAGCGAGGCGATACGCTTCGAGATAAAAATTATATTTATTGCCGCGTTGATGCAGGAGTGTGTTCATATTAAACGTCGGACGTACGTCGGGTGCACACCAGCTGCACACGGCAAAAGCGCTGGTGTGCACCCGACGTACGTCCGACGTTTAATATGAACACACTCCTGGACGGGTCTAGCTCAAATCTTTTCAAGTTTTGACAAGTAAAGTGACGTATACAGTGTTTATTACATACAAAATGGCAGAGCAAGTCAATGTAATAATCTCCGTGTTCAAGAGGGGTGCATTATGGAATGCTTCTCATCCAGATCATAGAAATCGCTATGTATTAGATGAACTTTGGGCAGAAGTAGCTACAGAATGTGAAATAACAGGCAAGTAAATTTAAGTAACATATATTTTGTACACAGAGTCACTGATATTGCACAGGGAAAGTATTTAGGTAATCTTTAAATGTGTCACGTATAAAAATTGCTTGATTGGGAATTCGACCTCTTGCGTTCCAATTTGGTCTGGCAAAATTGTTGTTTGCAGCAATTTCTGTGATTAATGTCAAATGCCTTTCGAAGCCCTCTTTATCCATGATAACATTATCTAAAATACAAATTGACTTGGTTATAATGTCGGCGAGTTGTTCGTCTGTTTCTATGGCTTTGGATAATATTCTCCATTTTGCATACATTATACCAAATGAACATTCAATCGTCTTTCTTGCTCTAGACAATCGCTGGTTAAAGTACAGCCTTTCAGGATTAAGAGTTTGTCTACTATATGGTTTAAGCAAGTTTTCTTCTGGTGGAATGCTTCATCGGCAATGAAAACAAATGGCATGCGAATTTGCGTATGTGGTAGACACTGTTCAGTTGGTACATTTAATTGTTTCTTTGAAAGTAGTTCAAACAAAGCGGAACTTTGAAAGGTGCCCCCATCGGATTGTCGTCCATATCCTCCTACCTCTATTACAGTAAATCGATAATATGCATCGCAGACTGCTTGAAGAACGATCGAAAAGAATTTTTTATAATTAAAAAACATACTTCCTGAATGGCTGGGACATTTGATTTTTACGTGCTTCCCGTCCTCACTAATTTTAATGAAATCATCCTGTGTTGGAACTGGCATGTGTATTGGCTGTAATATATTCCATATAGCGTTAACAACTTCTTTAACGATTGAGCCAACCGTTGTAGCTCCCATGCAAAAAGTGAATGATAAGCTTTTGAAAGATTCTCCTGTAGCTAAATATCTGCAATGGAAACATCAGTTATAGCTCAATAGCTAACTGGCTGTAACAATTTGAAAAATGAGCGTATATTTACTTTTTTAGCACTGGATGTGAAGATTGATAAACAAGAGTATAGGAAGTGGTTCATCACGACATGTGTAAAACACAATGAATATCAGCTATTTTGCATGGTGTTCTATTTTAACACTAGTGTTAAAATATACTACTTTCGACAATAAAAGACAATGTCAAAAAGATTTGTTTCAGTAATTGAAGTACAAAATCGCTATTTGATTATGTAACTATTTGCAAACTAAACTTGTTTTCTGCACTAGACATGTAGATCTTGTGCAAAAAGCAAGCTGCTTTGTATCGTGTTTCATTCAAATTGTTTTCATAATTCAGTACGGAAAAAATAAATTTTAGTTCGTGACATTGATTCGACTGTGTTAAATAGAAACCTATTTTAATAATAGTTACCTCATTTTAGCACTGATATTCTATTTCAACACTAATGTTGAAATAAACCACTTTTGACAGCGAAAATCAATGTAAAAATTATTACTTTTCGTAACTGAATTACAATTTATCTTTTCAGTGAAGGCGGCTCATACCAAATGGAAAAATTTAAGGGATTATTTTCGAAGGGAACTGAAAAAAATTCCGATCCCACGGTCAGGAGATCCAGGAGACATTGCAACTAAATCCCACTGGCCACATTTTAAAAGTTTGCTATTTTTAAAAGATCAGTTTAAGCCTCGAGTATCAACGGGAAATTTGGCAGATTCTCAGAATGAATTGCTTGCTACGGGCATGCAATCTGATGTGAATTCTGATGATGATAGAGTAGAGACGGAAACAATAGACGAAATGCAAGACACCCTGAACGTCGAGCCAGCGACACCTACTTCTGTTTCTTCAGAAAATATTGAGGACTCGTCCACAGGCACGTCAAGTCATTTTGCTGAACCCCGAACAGTTTTGAAGAGCCGACTCCGTAAAAGAAAAAATAATATTGCTGATTTAGTGGCCATCGAAAAACAGAAATTGGAATTCATCAGAACAAAGAGAGCCAACATAGAGGAAACCAAAGAGGATGATCATCTGGCATTCTTTAAGAGTTTACTGCCACACGTAAAAAAAATTCCGGACAACAATATTTTGCAGTTTAGAAATAGCGTTCAAGATCTAGTTCAGAGATATGCGTATGGTTATACTAATCAAATGAATCAAGGGTTGCAAACATTCGATTATCAGATCAATCAGAGCGACAACTCTTACTGAATTTTCGTTTCCTCACAATGTGCTGCATTTTATTACATGCATATTTCTTAGTTTATGTTTGTTAGAATATATTATTTTTAGTTCATATTTTCCAGTGTTTAAGATTGTTTTGTTAAATGAGTTTGATCATAAATGTTATGTGTTTTTCTACAAGGCTATTATACATTCAACTTACCTTAAAGTAATAACCAATTTCTCTTCCGGTTTAATAGGTTGTTTATTGTAGTTTGTCCAGTTTTTTTGAAGGTATGGAGAAACCTTATCTAAAATGTAGTTGAAAGTGCCAATATTTATTATCAAATATTCGAAAAATCGGTCTGGGTGCTGCTTGAGCTCAAGAAATAATGTATGGTACTGACCAAACCGTTTGCGCGCCTTATTAATAGGATGTACAGAACAAGTTCTGTCTAAACCGCCCATTGCAATAAGCCCACGAAGCGCGGCATTATCAAATAAAATTTCATCTTCACTGTCGGATAACATTGTTTATACTGATTTAAGTTTGGAACGTCAAAGCTACAAATCGCAGAATCTGTCTCCTTACTATGTGCATGTCTCCTGCCACGTCGCTTATACCGTCGCTTACCTCGTCGCTATGCCTCTAGCCTCGTCGTTCCACTATGTTTGTACCCTATGTTTGGTTTCATTACAATACACGATGAAATAAAAGCCGCGTCGCTTACCTCGTTGCTATGCCTCTAGCCTCGTCGTTGCACTATGTTTGTACCCTAAGGCGGAGGCCTAGCGCGACGGGATTGAGCGAGACAGCGCGCGTAGTTTTCAAACGTTCTTGTTCCGCGCTTTCTGGCCACACTACGGGCCTAGTCTGCAAGCGATTTTGCGCGCGGTGGCGGCGGTATTAAACCAGTTTGGTCTTGTCGCTCGGCGTATGCACATGCAAAATGGTGGATACTGAATTGTTCATAAGTGCGATTCAATCTAAGCCACCTATATGGCAAAGTAAGCATCCACATCACAGTAACCGCACAAAGACAAGACAGTTATGGAATGAAATAAAAGAACAATTTCCTGGAAGTGAAGGTAAGTTTAATATTTTATTATATCATCACCATTACATTCTTCGATACTGTTCCGAGAAATAGTTTGTGAATTGTATACGAACATTTTTTGCTCTTCGTGATGGATTATTATTTCGCACTCCGAGGTTATTGTGACGATTTTCACATAATGCCGGGTTAGATAGCACATTCTGAATATCCAAATCGCTATCGCCGTTCAAATCCAGTATGGTATTGTGTAGAATACACGCAGCTTTTATTATATACAAGGCATTTCTCCTATTTGTTTCGATAGGTTTTCGTAGTATTTTCCATTTACATGTTAAAATGCCGAATGCACATTCAATTGTTTGCCTAGCGGTAGACAATCTGATATTAAAACATTTTCTTTCATTATTAAGCACTCGCTCCGGATAAGGACGCATCAAATAATGCTTCAACGGATATGCTTCATCACCCACTAGGACGTAGGGTGCAATGACGTCAGAGTTTGGGAGTCTCTTTGGCCTAGGAATTTTGTATTTATTTTTTTCTATAAGCTTATACAGCGTTGATGCTATAAAAGTACCACCATCACTTTGCTTCCCGCGACCGCCGACTTCCACTGCTACAAATCTCCTTTTTGCATCAGCCACAGCTTGCATGACAATACTGTTTCTTCCACCAATGTGCCGAACCAGATTTAGGTGGTTTTTTTATTTCACAATGTTTCCCATCTATTGCTCCGATGCAGTGTGGGAAATTCCAGGTTGCTTCAAAATCTTCTGCAATAGCTTTCAGACGTTGTTCTGTTGGTATCGGCATGTGTATAGGAACTAACTCAGCCCATAGAACACGGCATGTTTCGTGAACTATAGACGCAATTGTACTTTTCCCCATGCGAAAACTGTATGCCAGTGCTCTAAACCCAGCTCCTGTTGATAAAAACCTGAAATTAAAAAAGCAGATTATAATATAAGGTTATTGTTACAGAAAAACAACTGCGTAAGAAGTGGAAGAACCTGCGCGATCAGTTTCGGAAAGAAAAAAAGAAGTTCCCTACGCCGCGTTCTGGTGACGCTGCCAACGAAACAGAGAGCACTTGGCCATACTTTCAACTCATGCAATTTTTAAACGATGATATTACACCTGAAGTCATGACTGGAAACCTGCATGATAGTGATTCGGATTCCCTGAACGAGTCCTGTCATACTGAGGAGCAAAATGATGTGATGAGTCCAGGCACATCAACCACCAGCAGTCGCACAAATGCATCAAAGCGCAACAAAACAGCATCCGATTATAGAGATGAGCTTATGGAATGTGAAAGAAAAAAAAATTTGCTAATAGAACAGAAAATGGCCACAAATAATGTCCAGCCGGAAAAATGTGATGATTATCATTTTTTTATGAGTCTCCTGCCACAAATGAAGCAATTTGGTGAAGTACAAAAGTTACGTATTCGCAATAAAATTACCCAAGTCATAATAGACGAGGCAGAAAGGATGCAGTATTCTTCTCATCAGAGATACGAGGAAAACTATGAAGGCTATTCTACTACTGGCACTTACACCAATTTTTAATTAGATTCACAGTTTATTATAGTTAACTACTAATTTGATTACTATCCACATAAATACTATATTTTTAGTAAAATCTTATTTTATTCTTACCTCAGTGTTATGAACAATTTCTCCTCGGGACTAATACTTTTCCGAAAGTTTGTATCTTCTTTGGCGATTTTAGCTGATATTTTACTCAGGATGTAGTCAAATGTTGACACGGGCATTCGAGTGTACTCAAAAAATTTGGTAGGGTATAGTCTCAGTTCTTCATACAAATGAAAAAATTCTCCACTTGTTTCTATTTATTTCATGCACACCATCTCGAATGTTCAACACCTCCCATCTCAGGATCGGACTGTCAAGTAAAAAAACTAAATCGTCGTCCATAGTTTGGGACTTCTGATAATACGTCACACATGTTCAACAGCTTCCGTGTCACTGTGGCCACCGCATGTCGTCGCTCGTCGCGCCCGCCTAGGCCCCAGTCACCGCGCTTTCAGTATGGACGCACACTAACACCAACTGCCTGTAAACATCGCAACCTACTAGATTGTTATTATGAATATGGGTATAGTCCGGTACCGTTCGGACTATAGAATATAGAAATTCTGAATCTATTCGGAAATGTTTATTTTCACGCGTAAAAAAGGACAGTTCTATTCGGTATGATCCAATATTGGATGAAGCGATAGTCATGAAGCACGTTTTGGACGTTTCGCTTGCACTCACTCGCTTTCGTAATACGATCATACCTACAATACCCCGCCTAACAGGAATAGCGAATCTCCAGCGAAAATCAAAATACAAACTTCAAACTAAAAATATCTGCATATCTTTCAATTTTCTAATCTGCCGAGTTTAAAAAATGCGATCGGGTAACGTGTCGTATATCGGGTTAATCAGGAGATTTTGGTCTGTCGTATTGCAAAAAAATCGTAGCTATGTCGCTCCGTAACGCAGGTCCGTATCGAAGAAGACGAAGTACGCCGAAAAACGGTTGTCATCGGTACCTTTGAGGCGCTCAAAGTTTACTTTTTAGAAATTTGACGGTAGTTCTAACGGTCAGAATCGTTTCCTTAGCTCATTATCGTTATTTTTCGATAGCTATGTAATTTTTACTCGCTCACGTACGATAGCAATAGGTGAGGATAGAGCCGGATGACAAAGTGACTTTTTGACGCGTCGAAAAGTAGCATATTGTCGAGCAATTTTAAAAAATCGAAAATTTTCAACCTAAACGAATAATGACGATGAAAATAGTTTTACCTGCGAGTCCGAAGTATGGGCTTTCTCGTGCAAAAGTCGCCAGGTCCGTATCTTTGTTATCGTCGGAGGAGATAGCCCGTCGATGGCGAAAAGCGCGCTTTATACGCAAAAAAGTCATTCTTGACGACGTTCGAGGTTCGTTTATTCGAAACGGGTACCGTAAACGGAAAAAACTGTCTCCGCGTAATTTGTAGCGGAAGTGAAGTTTGTATTTTGATTTTCGCTGGAGATTCGCGATTCCTGTTAGGCGGGGTATTGTAGGTATGATCGTATTACGAAAGCGAGTGCGTGCAAGCGAAACGTCCAAAACGTGCTTCATGACTATCGCTTCATCCAATATTGGATCATACCGAATAGAGTGCTACAAATTACCCGGGGACAGTTTTTTCCGTTTACGGTACCCGTTTCGAATAAACGAACCTCGAACGTCGTCAAGAATGACTTTTTTGCGTATAAAGCGCGCTTTTCGCCATCGACGGTTTATCTCCTCCGACGATAACAAAGATACGGACCTGGCGACTTTTGCACGAGAAAACCCATACTTCGGACTCGCAGGTAAAACTAATTTAATCGTCATTATTCGTTTAGGTTTAAAATTTTCGATTTTTTAAAATTGCTCGACAATATGCTACTTTTCGACGCGTCAAAAAGTCACTTTGTCATCCGGCTCTATCCTCGCCTATTGCTACCGTACGTGAGCGAGTAAAAATTATATAGCTAGCGAAAAATAACTATAATGAGCTGACGAAACGATTCTGACCGTTAGAATTACAGTCAAATTTCGAAAAAGTAAACTTTGAGCGCCTCAAAGGTACCGATGACAACCGTTTTTCGGCGTACTTTGTCTTCTTCGATACGGACCTGCATTACGGAGCGACATAGCTAGGATTTTTTTTCGCAAAACGACAGACCCAAGTCTCCTGATTAACCCGATATACGACACGTTACCCGGTCGCATGTTTTAAACTCGGCAGATTAGAAAATTTTAAGATATGCAGATATTTTTAGTTTGAAATTGATCTTCGCTCCAGATTCGCGATTTCTGTTAGGCGGGGTATTGTAGGTACGATCGTATTACGGAAGCGAGCGCGTGCGAGTGAAACGTTCGAAACTTGCTATTTTCGGCTTTATGTCGATCGCTTCATCCAATATTGGATCACGCCGAATACCATTGTCCTTTTTTACGCGTGAAAATAAACATTTTCGAAAAGATTCAGAATTTCTATATTCCATAGTCTAAACGGACCGGACTATAGACATTATCATAATAACAATCTCTAAAATACGATAAATATGATTGTAAGCCCCTATTACTGTTATAATTTTACAAAATCGTATTATGGATTCATCCACAATATCGCATATAGCATTCTCCAACGTACTGATATAAAGCGTATGTCTGGTTGCATACCCTACTCTTTCTAACCTTCAACGTATGAATGTAAGCATTATCAAAATCTTATAAATGAGGCTCCCGTTAATAAGGATTAATTAGAAGCTTAGAACAAGCAATCGCAACTACAAATAGTGAAAGTGTTGTGAAATGTTTACAGTGTCCGTGCAGTGCGGCGCCAGAAGTAGGTATTTGTTTGACAAACGTAAGTAGACGTCACGATTCATTTCAATTCACTTGTGGATTAATGCAATTAACTTGAGTCATTGTCTCTGTTGTCTAAACAATCATTCAGAATAATATGTAATAGAAGTAGTATCGAAGTACCCAACTAAAGGCTGAAGCTTTTCTCACCTGAGTAGTGCCTATAAATGGTAAAGAAGTAAACAAACTTGTCAGAATTAGAAGATTTAATTAGGTTGAACAGTAGAACACAGTCTTTAACTACACTTGAGAGTAATCATACAAATTTTGGTACAAGCGATGAATTTCTGAAACTCCAGTCACTATTTTGAAAATTGTTGATTACTTCCATGTTTTGAACGCAAATGGAATCATAGCTCACTTTTACATAGGCAATTGTGTTAGGTGTGAGATACTGTCAGTGCGCGGTTAGACCTTTGTGACTACTTCTATGAAGTTCAGTGAGAGTTCAGTCTTGACCCTCAGTTCAATTTATCTAAATATGTAGACCTATTAGCTGGCTAACAGTACTAAATTATTTTAGAATTTGCTATTAGATAGGAGGATCTATCCCTTATTAGAGAGCACAAAAAACACTATAGTATGTAATTTGCACTTTGCTAAGAAGCACAAGAAGAAGAAGAAGGAACATGCAAAGCGCTGTAAAATGATATTGATGATCATATCTTCTACCAAACTTTTAAAAAAATTATCAAGTCTTTCACTGCCTAAAGAGCAATTCATACCCACTGTGAACAATGCTTGCAATATCTTAAATAACACACAACGAATTAGCAATGTGACTAGCGCAGTTACTAGCATGCTAACGCTATGCTAAATATTGTTCGTTGATGTCTTTATTTAAAACCACCCGTAGCGCAGTTGCTGGTATGCTAATGCAATGCTAGCGATATACTTAATCCCTATCATTAATCATCTTCTAACATTTAGCATCTTTGATCTTGTATTATGTTATCATCTGTTATCCGTTATACTGCATTCTGGTCTACATGCTTCTTACTTTGTAGACATACTGGTAGGTTCAGCCACTTTAAGCAGAAATCCAAGTATATAGAATTTTTGCTTTTCCAGAAATCCTCCCAATGCTAAAAAAACAATTATGATCAATTATTGATTCATTAAATTTACTCATATGTGATTTCCTAGTTTAGTCCGAATTTTAAAGGTGCCCATAACAGTGATTTGTAGGAGCCACTGTTGTGGTTGATTTCGCGATAGTAATCGTTTCCTGTAGATTGAGATACTGCCCAACCAGTGGTGTTATCCAGAAATAGATCTGGGAGGAGGCTCAGGATCCAGGGTCGTGGAGATAGAAAACTGCATAGTAGGGGGGGAACTCGCTTAGTCCAGGTAGCACACTTCACAGAAGGTATAACATGCTGTAATATGTAGAAGAAGCCTAATGAGCTGTTACGCTTCGGCAAGGGAAACTCCGAGGAGCCCCAAATCCCTCCCTTGAATACGCCGGTGTGCCCATACCAGAATAGTAACAGAGGCGTGGGGTCTGTGGGCCTAGCTCAAAGAGTTCCGTCGTTCTTTCTAATATCATTGGGTTTCCATCCAACCAGCGACGGCGACGAAGTAAATAAGAAATGAATAAGTCCTTCTTGATTAAATTTACAACTTGATGCATTAATTAAAGAAATTATCCTGTTTTTAGTCGTAAAATGCTACCAGACATTTGAGAAAAAAAAAATAAAATTTTAAATTTCAATAGGCATTAAGAGTAATCCATGTAATTTTTTCTTATGAATGTGGAAGTGGAACAGCCGGCGGGTACGCTTATACAGTCGGCGGCGCGGCACTTCAAAGACAAAAGCTGTATTTTGTGTTATTGGCTCACAAAGAGATTGACAGTAGCTAGAAAAAAAAGTCGTATTTTTCTATTTGACTCTTAGGTTTAGTGGATTTAGCATTTAGAAGGCTGGCTATTATTACCTTCAATCGCATCCTAAGAAAAAAATTCGGCCTGATTTTTTGTTCATTTTCCTGTTGTGCTTTTTGTCACTGCAAGCAAACTGTAGCTAAACTGTTTTCACAAAGCTTTTTGAAAACTTAGTCAGACTTCGCTTTGAAATGATATTCCCAACTTGGGGGAATAGGACGGAGGTTTTTTTCAGTGTACTCGTATAGTACAGAAACATTTTCACTGTATACTGGAAATCTATTTTGAATAACAATATGTCATTTTTTCAGACTGCTACGTGGCCCGAATTAGATTTTTATAAGAACGTGTTTGTTTATTTGTTACTTTTGTTTATGGATTTATACAGAAACTGTTTTTTTTATAATTCTAGATTGATTTATTACTTGTCTGTGTTTTAAAGGATATTATTTTTGTTTTAATTGCATGGAATTGACTGTTTGTTTTTATTATTTTATACTATACACTATGCACCGGCGGGCCTTCGGCGATCTAGTTCTTTTCTGCCGCTACACCAACGGGCTTTGCTCCTCTGAGCTCTCTGCCATGATGCCTCCGCGCGATGTGCCTGCCAGATAGACCCGCCTAACTTTGACGTCCCATCCTAACCGTGTCGAGCTTCGTTCATCCAGAACTGGGCGATACGACCGCCCCTTTGTCTCTCGAGAGTTTTGAGACTGTGGAACAATCTACAAGAGGAAGCTTTTCCGAGTTCTACTAACCTTAGTCAGTTCAAAAATCGTATTAACAAAATTTCTTTGAGATCATCATAGCAGCCGCGGTGTTTCGGCATTTAGGCTTTTGCCTGCGCGACTGCTTCGATATATAATATAGGTATACATATACCTGTATATATATATATATACTCCATAATCATTTGAATTTTTGGCTTGTCTATTGAGTACCAAATATATTTGACCTACCATAGAAAAATTCATCTCTCAATCTGTTTGGGAATCTGACTGACCAGTTACTAAACAGACCGTCGGCAATGAGTAATCAGGGGAGCAGAAACACGCCGTCCTGCGACCTGTCTTTAGGTAGAGCGTCCCTCTTTTATCGAGTATAATTTATTGCCGGTTTATTTCTTTGGTCTTCTTTACCGCCGTTTGATGGATCACTCTAAGCAAAAGCTAAACATACACGGTAATGTTTACCCAAAGGAGATGCAATAAACAGATTACAATAACAATATGAGTTTTTGAGCGTAGCAACTAGAATTCTTAGAGAAATTTTACAAGGAGCAGCCTTCAAAACACTTTAAGGAGTGTGTGTATTTCGTATTTTTAAAAGTTGTGTTCTGAAGATTTAAAAATAGGAAATTTGATATATCATTTTCTGCCGTTGGTAATAAAGGAATCATCAACTTGAGCATTTTATAGGCCAATTGCGTATTAATGAAAGACGAAAGGTAAAGGTATAGGCGGAGTGTGGGTAGAGAGTTGATTATGATTTGTTCATCAAAATATTCATACAGATCTTATTGTAGCGGAATCATGAATCTGAATATCCATAATATTATTTAACCAGGCTTCCAAATATATTATTAGCGTGTATGTCCAGCTTTACATCCACCCTTCAACTGGATAGATACATCCACACACTTGCCGGTATACAATAGGTTTTTTTTGTTTTTGATTTACTGCCTCGAGGCGACCAAGATATCCAAATAAAGGGAAGAAAGGTTACAGGCGGATGGTTCACCTGAATGGGTTCCCTACTTTTAATTTTATTGATTTCAACAGAGTAATGCCTAGTTTGGCATGTCATAGAGTAATTGAGTTCATACAGGGTAATACATATTATTATTTTTTATGTCTAGACTGTATATGATAAATAGCATTTTCTGGAAAATAGGCTTGTAAAATAGAGTGCTTTAGCGTTCCACTCATTGGCGATAACCCACCTGTCGTTCTGGTTTCCTTGACATTGTGCAATATGAGTAACTACTATACTGATATACAGTATAAATCATCATTGGTTATTGAGCCATATAAAAACTTATAAATATTGTTTGCAAATATCCTTCAGAGCTGTACCTTCTGATTAGATCACAAATAATCTCCGAACTTCTGATAATTCTCAGGATCTCAGCGGTTGACACCGGCGGCTAAACTTTTCTGTTCAAAAAGTTATGTGGAGATTCCAACAGATATGATCTTCAAATATTACACTCCTCAAATGAGTAACCGTTGCATCTCTGATCTTCCTCAGCATCTGCAGAAGCTTGCCTATTGACTGGAAACACCTTAAAAATAAAGTTTTGATTTGGAGTTTGTCTTATAATATTTACAAATATATTACAGCTTCGGGTACTTACATGTTTTTACTTTACAACTGTAAACAAAAGGCACAAACATGTCTCAAATAACATAATAGGGACTTTATGCAATCAAAATGAAATGTGTATGTTAGAAGAAATGAAAATGGCTTGCGAAGTAAGGTTAATTTTGCAAAGTACAGCGCACAGCTATAGGAAGCAAGTCGCCGGAATTTTGAATCTGACCAATCAGACAACGTCAGTTGTGAATAAGCCGCCATTTCTTAAGGGTGCAACATGGTTGTCATATTGTGCACCCACAACACTGCTTTGTTTCTCATTGGCTCATGAGTTTCACCCCTTTGCACAGCGGCATAAAGAATCCCTCCGGAAATTTAAAACTGACCAATCAGACAATGTCAGTTGTGTATAAGCCGCCATTTTTTGAAGGTGCGACATGGGGTTTGTCCGTTTGAAGCGTTCCAACACAAACCTATGACGGTTCATGGGACGCTTGATACACTGTTCCAACAGATCTCCGACAGTTCAACGAACGGTCTTTGACCCGTCAAAACCGTACCTGGTCCGTAACGAGGACAGTCAGTGTATATGTTTTGTGGAGGATAGTGAGTACACACATGCGCATTAAATAGAAATTAGAATGTTCAAATTTGAAGGTTATAAGCATAAGGAATGTTGTTTTGCCATGGAGAATCAAAATATCCTATCTTATGGTAAGTTTGACGACTATGGGGTTGGGACGTATGGAGCTAACTGCCTTCTGTTTACAGAACTAAACGAGTTTCTTGTTATGCTAAATACAAGTGCTCTGCAGAGCGAGAGTACCACGACACGAGCACCAAAATTTTCATTGAAGTTTAAGGAACCTTTAAAAGGTTCCTTCGACGTCAAAAATTCAAAGATGATGTGGTGGAAAATATCACAGGCTTTACTAGACTATAATATTAAGGTAACGCCAAACAATTACATGAATAGATGAAGGGTACTGGAGCGGAACTATAAAAAATATGTTGATAACCAAAGGCAAACAGGTAAGCGAACTGCTAAAGCTGAGAACTAATTGAAATTGCTTTTTAATTATAAATCCAATGAGGTATACCATAGTTAGATGTAAAAGCTAAAGCAACTTTGCATATGTTTGGCAGGATCTAATTTAATTTTTTCCTATAATTTTAGGTACGGGAAGAACATTTTTTTAGTATAAGCAAGAAATGGAGGAGGTATTTCTTAAGAAAAAAAAATATCCGTCCTGAATTGTTGCTAGCAAGTGATCAAATAGATACTCAAATAAATATGAACAGTGATAATGCTATTACTACAGCTGCACCAGATGTATCCACCATCTAAAAGCAGCGACACCACAGAAGAAAAGTCAGATAATTTGAAAAACAGAAGGTATTATGGTTAAAATAAGAAGTAACCACAAAACGTATTATGAGGAAAAACTGCAAATAGAAAACTTAAAATTAGAAGAAAAGAAAGAAAAGAACCAACTGATTGAGGAATGAAACAATATGCTCTAAGAGAAGCAGTGTAACTGTCACCAAACAAGCTCCTAGCTTTACTGTATTTTGCCATTAAAGTTAAGTCATAGATTATAAGTTTTGTTGTGTTCAGTATTGAAATATTAATTTTATATCGTTATGTTCATATTTGATTTATGTTATTGCAAAAAGTTCAAACAAATGGGGATGCACTCTTTTTCCAGTACTCTTCAGGACCTTGTAGAGGAGGGTCTTAACCTTAATTAGATACTCAACCTTAATTAGACACTCAACAGTTTTGAAAATATTTTGATGATGTTCAAGTTGACCATTATATATATATATATATATATATATATATATATATATATATATATATAGGGTGACTTCGAAGTTGAGTCATTTATTTTAACAGTGAGTAGATCTGATCAAAAGAAATGTTTTTTTCCTTTACCATTTTTCTGTTAAAATTAAAGTAACAAAGTTATAGCCCTTTGGAAGTTTGAGTACCGCCCTGTCTCAATAATGATATTATGTTCTCGTGTTTGGCAACAACAGATATAATCCGCCTTATCCGTTCATCGCATCGGAAACAAAAAAGCGAAAGAATTTGGAACGATCTTTTTACAATTATTTTCTTCAGTTGTATACAGTCAGTATCAGTCGGTAGTCGGTAACGCGTAAGTGAATAATCGTGTCTGTTGCGAGGCTCAAATCAAAAATGGCACATGTTTACGAAAATGCTGAACTTGTGGACATGGTTCTTATTTACGGGAGTCTTTACAAAATGCTGCCGCGGCATCACGGATCTATGCGGATCGGTTTCCCAATCGAGTGCAACCAACCCCTCGTGCCTTTGTTAATGTAGTGCAAAGAGCTCGTGAATCAGGTGACTTAAGACCTCACAGAGGAGATCATGCCGGTGCTCCAAGACCACACGATCAAATAGAACTAGAAGAACAAATTTTAGAATTAGTAAGTGATGATCCAACAGTAAGCACCCGACAAATTTCAACTCAATTGGCGATTAGTCAGTATAAAACTTGGAAAACTCTACGTGAAAATCAGTTCTATCCGTTTCACATACAAAAAGTGCAGGCCTTACAACCGGAAGATCATGAACAAAGGGTTGACTTTTGCAATTGGCTTTTAAATAAACATCAAAATGATGACAATTTTTTAAATCAAATTTTAGTGAGTGATGAAGCCCTCTTTACTAGAAACGGAATTATTAATTCACGTAATTCTCACGTTTGGGCTATTGAAAATCCCCATGAAATAAGGGAAACCAATTTTCAACAGCGATTTGAACCAATCAACCTGTGGGCGGGAATTGTTAATGGAATTTTAGTGGGGCCTTTTGAATTACCAAATCGCTTAACTGGTGAAAATTATTTTGATTTCTTGCAACACAATTTGCCTGGTTTACTGGAAGATGTGCCTTTAAATATTAGACAAAACATGTGGTTTTTACAAGATGGGGCACCACCCCATTATGCAAGAAATGTTCGTGAATTTTTAAATAGACAATTTAATAATCGTTGGATCGGCCGTGGCGGTTTTGTACCTTGGCCGCCAAGGTCTCCGGACTTAAATCCTTTAGACTTTTGTTTGTGGGGTTGGCTAAAAACTCTAGTGTATAAAACACCGGTTAATACACGCGAAGATTTACGTGCTCGAATTGAGGAAATGAGTACAGTGATCAGAAATCAACCAGTGATTTTATTGTGTGCTTGTAAAGAGACATGGCTAAGACGCGCCCAGCTGTGCGTCGAGCAAAACGGAAATCATTTCGAACAGTTTTTGTGACATGCTTTTGGGCGCACAGGTCCGCACTGAAATACTTGTCGGGAGGATACTTTATAAAACAAGGTAACATTTTTTTTTTAATTTTTTTTTATTTTTACACACATATTTTGGTTTATCTTCCTTCTACAATCATTATCTGAAAATTAATGACTCAACTTCAAAGTCACCCTGTATATTCATTAATATTTTATGCAACATTAAGACTGATATTTTACATGTTAAATATATGGAAATATATTTTTTAGATTTTCTTACTTTTCTTTTTATTTAAATTCTTAGTGCTCCTTTATTATTTGTTATTAACGCCACAATGAAAAAGAAATTAATTCGCATTACTATTTCATTGACATGTATTTTGACAATTTATTTTCAGTTATTAGTTAATAAGGAGATCACATATTGCATTGTCAGGACCATCCATATACTGGATACCTTCTGCTACAGCTCTTGATTCATACACATAGTCATATAATGCAACTCTATTTATTAGATTCTAAACACTACAAATACATTTGTGATTTGGGGGTAGACTGCAATAAAAGACAATCCATAAACATAAAACAAGAGAAATGTACATGTATAGATTTTACAAAGCAGTAATGGATACTTTCATCTCATTATGCATTTGAGTTTCTTTAAAATTAACACAAACTATTTCATTTATATTATACAAGGTGTTACAAAATGCAGTGACAGACATTAAACGTCAGGTAAAATATTGTAAAATATAAACAAAAGTTCACATAACTATGGACCCAGTCATGCTCTATTCATATGTATGCATGTTATATTCCATCATCACCCTGTATTTTATATAATATTATAATTATTACCTTATTACCTGTTACTTTTATTTCTTGCTAGCATTGTCGCTACGCTATGGAATCTTATCTCGCGCCTTGAAGTTCACATCCATGTGTGAGGAAATCTTGTCACTTCTTGTCGAACCGTCCTGTTTTACGCATCGTCGTGACAAGGTTTCACAAAAGTCCTTTTGTACCGTTAATCGAAATAAAGTTTTTTTAAAAACAAGTATTTCGGTAGCAGTAATTTAACTGGTGGCTCAACCGGGATACCTCAGCGTGTCGCAAAACGTGCACCTTCGGCGTCCGAATTCGAGGCAATCGAGCAGAGTATCGGCCAGCTGAAATCACCAGTCATAGACACGCGAACTTTCAAGTTCTTAGAGGGATCCACAGCCAGCAACAACAGAGTGAAGGTACTAAGGACCAGCAGCATTGGGCGTCGGCCCTAAGTTCCAAAACTCCCAAAAACCTTGATAATAGAAGTGGTTCATCTAGGAGGGTGTGCTGCATCTTCAGCGGCACAACCAGTCTATCGTAGAAACTAGTGAAGCCGAAGAAAGAAGAAAAGGTAGAAGACGAACGTTTTTCGAACGTTTCCCATGAATCTTTGGTGTGTGGTCGTGTTACTGTAAGTTTTTGAACATTTTTGCTGTTAATCATTGTTTTTTGCATACACATTTCCTAGTGGTGATATTTCATCGAACATCTCTGGAATAATTATATTTGTCTCGCGAATATTTGTAAATATTTTTGATTTCTTAGATCTTTTAAATTTCTGCGATACTGGTTATTGAAGTTTTGGTACATCCTGAGATTTTTATGCCTCCTTATTATTCCGATAGTGAATCAGATTGTTCTGACTCTGACAGGCACCGAAACCGTTCACGTAAATTAACAATCATGACTTCAGAAATTACAAGTCTAGAGTTGTCTCTTGCGAAAGATATTGTTCCTGATTATTTTGGCGGTAGTAAAGATCTTTTGGATTTTGTCACGAAGGCAGACCAATTTATAGAATTGCTGAAAAAGCCGGATCCAAATTGTGTGTTCAATAAATTGCTTTTTCATAATGTTATCGCAAAAATCAAAGGCGATGCTAGAGATTTATTGAATAACAGTTCCTGGGTTACTTGGAAGGATGTCAAAGATATTCTTGTTAATAGATTCGGTGATAAAAGAAATGAATCTTGTTTAGCTTACTAGCTTTCTCGTCAGCATCAGAATAACAAAGAATCTTATCAACAGTATTACGATCGAATAAACGAACAATTGCAAAAAATGTTGCAACAGGTAAAATTAAATTCGCCTCCTGAACTATTTCAGATAAAATCAGAAATGTACTGTGATCAGGCTTTAAAACGCTTCATTTTTGGATTGAAGGATCAGTATGGTAATATTTTTGCGCACTCACACGTGAATAGTTTGCCAGACGCTTTGCGTAAAATTCAAGAAATGGAAAACTTTTGGTATGAGCGATCTTTGACCAATTTCATGAGAGATAAAGACGAACCCCAACGCAAAAATAGTCAGTTTTCCAAACCAGTACCAAATCAGAGGGGAAATAATTTGAATAATAGCTTCCAAAATCAGTTTAGGCCACAATTCCAATTGTCACCACCCAGAGTTGGTCCACTCAGACCAAACAATTTAACTCCTCGGCCGCAACTAAGTCAGCCACAGTTAATTCCAAATCGTTTTCCAAATTCAAATCTAGGAATACCCAACCTAATAAGCCAACACCTATGTCCGTCGATGGTAGTAATTATCGCCCAAATAATTCTATAAGACAGCCGTATCGCCCCAACTTTTTTCAACAAACAAGCCGTCCAAATGTGATTGTGGAAGAGCTCCATAATCAGGAGACTGATGGCTCTGAATTTCCAGATCAATACGTTAACTATTTTTTTTTCTGAAGCCCCGTACGTTGATCAGCAAGACTTTGATTACTTGAAAAGTGAGGTAGCTACTTTTGCAAAATGATAGTGCCCAGGTTGGAAATTTTCCAATACCAGCCTCGGAACCGAATCAGTCGACTTAAATGACATTTACAAGCTTTCGAAGCTCCCCTATATAGTTCTTCCGAAGTTAGGCCTTAAAATATTGGTGGACACGGGAGCTACGTCAAACATTATGACCTCCGACATTGCAGATACCTATTTTTCTGAATTTCAACTTGGACAAAATTTTGAAGTAAAATCGCTAAATAAGATTTCTCGTGGTTCAAAAAATGTTCTATACCCAATCCTGAATGAATTTGGCATTAATAAAGTCCTAAGTTTCAAGGTAGTCGATTGGCACGACAAGTTTGATCTGTTGCTAGGGACAGATGATCTTCAGAAATTAGGTGCAAAAATTGACTATACCAATCAAACTGTTCAGTTAAAAAAT